TCGCAGCTGACACAAAACGACTGGGAGTTTGTTGTCCGAAATGGCAATGTTTGTGTACCCCGCTTGATTGATAACAACAAATTGAACCTCAGTGTCCAGCAAGAGACACCGGATGCGCCTCCCCAGATGCAACCCTTCAAACAAGATCGCGCTTTGCGACTTGCTGCGGGCGATGGGAGGGGCCTTGATGAGCTTTACTTCACAGACGATGTTTCCCGCAATGGAACCCTGCCGGAGGATCATATCGAGATCCAGGTCCACAGCACCGGCCTGAACTTCAGAGATGTTTTGATGGCCATGGGCCAGCTACAAGGAGACAGACTTGGACAGGAATGCAGTGGAGTCGTGACTCAAGTCGGAGCCGCGGTATCCGACTTCAAGATTGGAGATCGGGTTTGTGCGATGTCACCGGGTTCCTTGTCAACTTTCACTCGTTGCCCGGCCTCCGGATCCTGGGCAATTCCCGACGATATGCCTTTCGAAATCGCGGCTTCGATTCCTGCTGTGTTCTGTACTGCTTACTACTCTCTCATTGACTTGGGCCGATTGACTAAAGACGAGAGCGTCTTGATCCATGCCGCTGCAGGAGGTGTTGGCCAAGCTGCTATTATCATTGCTCAGAGTGTTGGAGCCAATATTTTCGCAACAGTTGGTAGTATCGAGAAGAAAACCTTCCTCATGGAAACTTACCAGCTCAAGGAAGACCATATATTCTTTAGTCGTGACATGTCATTTGCGCAGGGCATTCAGCACGCCACTGGTGGCCAGGGTGTTGATGTTGCTCTCAATTCGCTTAGCGGTGATGCCTTGCAAGCAACATTCGAGTGCGTTGCGCCCTTCGGTCGTTTCATTGAACTCGGCAAACGGGATATCACGACAAACTCTCGATTGGAGATGGCCCACTTCAACAAGAACATCTCCTTCGCATCTGTCGACTTGGGTATTGTCAAGGAGAAGCGTCCGCAATTGACGAAGCGGCTGCTGCGTGATTCGTTCAAGCTGTTTGTCGACACCAACGCCCAGTCGAGGTGGTCTGTCACCACTCTTCCCATCTCAGATGTTGAGGTTGGATTCCGGGCGTTGCAGGGCGGACAAGTGATCGGCAAGATGGTCGTCCAGGTTACTGATGACTCCATGGTTAAGGTATGTTTTCTCGGATTTATGACAGTCACATTTAGAGCGGATGGTTGCTAACTCAGCATGCAGGTCCATCCCGCTAGAAGGGATGAAAATCTTCTTCGCACAGACGCTTCATATGTGATCGTTGGTGGAACCAGCGGGATTGGTCTCGACATTGCCAGTTGGTTCCCAGAGAAAGGAGCCAAGAATATTATACTGGTATCTCGAAGTGGCGTTAAGACTGAAATCGCGAAGCAAACTGTTCAAGATCTTACTCACCAGGGTGTCAATGTGGAAGTCTGTCGCTGCGATGTGGCGGATAAGCAGAGCGTGGAGCAAAATCTTGTTCCACTCCTCGCTCGCATGCCTCCCGTTCGTGGTGTTGTATACGGCGCTATGGTTCTCCGGGTAAGTTTCTCAACAAATACCAAATCACATCTCCGCTAACTAGTCTCTTAGGACACCCTTTTTGAAAAGCTTAGTTTCGCAGACTACCAGACCGTGATGATGCCCAGAGTCCACGGAATCTGGAACCTCCAACGGGCGTTGACAACAACTAACGGTAGCGTGGATTTCTTTGTCAACCTTTCATCTGCCGCTAGTTTTGTTGGTAATATCGGCCAATCCCCCTACGCAGCTAGTGGAACCTTCATGTCAGCGCTCGCCCAGTACCCCGAGACAGCGAAGATGCGCTGCTCGACAATCGATCTGCCCATTGTGCGCGGAATTGGATACCTCTCCGACGACCAGAAGCGCGAGGCAATCGCTAAACAACTCGGTACCGAGTCCGTTGATGCAACAGAAATCCGTGGTCTTGTGACCGCGGCAATCCGCAACGAGTTCGACCTCTCGTGCCAGGGACACTGTGTGGTTGGCTTCGAAGGCGTCAAATCCACGCCGGTCAATGAACAGCCCTTCTGGGTCACCGATACCAAACTGTCGCATCTGCTGCGCCTCTCCACCCTCGCTGGCGCGGGTGAATTGGCCGAGTCTGCGCAGAATAGTACCGAGATTCCGCCCGCAGTTGCTGTCCGGCAATGTAAGGCCCGCGAAGCCGCCGAGGCAATTGTTGGGACTGCAGTGCTCAACAAGATCGCTACCATTCTCATGCGTCCTATGGAAGACCTTGATCCTGCTGCACCTATCACAGTTTATGGTCTCGATTCGCTGGTCGCCATTGAGATCCGAAACTGGATCACTCGCGAGTTGGAAGCTAATTTGCAGATCCTGGAGATCTTGACCAGTGAATCTATCCCAGCTCTTGCTGAGACGATTCTCAAGAAATCGGGTATCCTTACTTCAGACCTGAAGGCTGAGTGGGGTCTCGATGTGGCTGAAGGCCGAAACGGCCAAGAATGAATATTCTCCCCATCTACATTCTTTTGATTGAGAATATATCCTGTCAAATGTCAATCTCTTGCTATATTTTGGCAATGTATTGCACTCTACAACCTTTTCTTTACTTTGTTTATCTTATTTTGTCGGCATAGATATTGAAATTCAAACGTTTCCCCTGCATAATTAATTCATCGCCTATGGATTCGACGGCTAGCTTTATGTAGGCCGTCATCACACATGTAAATTATCACATGTTCTTACGGTGAGAAACATTTCCCGTTGAGTGCATTGGCGACTATCAGTGGAGAAAAAGGGATTGCCAATGGTCTGAGCGATGTCAAATCTCCGGTTTCTCCTCGGGGATCATCGCACTAGTGTGAATATTATTAGCCTTGTACGAGATATAATCCCGTTGTAAGAGGCTAATTGTAGCCGTTGCAATATACTTGAAATACCCCCCCTGTTGACCCGTAAGCCCTAGTGACATGTTTGTATTCTAGTTGGGCAATGCATCTTCCTAAAGGAGGTAGAGACATGGTGGCCCCATATATCTGCCATAATATTATAAACTGCATGTATTAACCCCACATCCCGCGTCTGACAGTTCAAATACCGGGGATTATTTATTCAAGCTGTGTTTTCTCTCAACTGTCTGCCTAAATCAGCCAAAAGGTAGCCATGACTCACCAAGAGGTCTTTCAAGTACAGCCTTTCGGGTGGGAGAACGACCTAGAAGAAGAGCGCTTTAAAGTGTCTACATTGGACTATTTGACAGCATGCACCTACAACAACTATGCTCTATTCTTTCGACTGGAAGACGCCGAGAAGAATCGGGCCGTTGATGTCTTGAAGGCTGGCCTTGAACGTACTCTCGGCCAAGTACGCCATCTTTGTGGGACAATTGAGAAGGACCCTACTGGTGGACATTCATTTGTCAAGAAAAAGGACAGCGCTGTCAAGTTATACGTTCAATGGCTGGATTCTCCAGATCTCTGCCAGGATTATCCATCATTTGATGAGATAGAAGAGGGCAACTTCCGTACCTCGGTATTGGGTGATCTTAAGCGATGGAGTGTACCTCCTATGACATACGGAGAGAAGCCAGAGGCACACCCAGATAATAGTCCAGTGGTGGCGTCCTATAAAGCCAACTTCATCCGTGGTGGATTGGTCTTCATTATGCACCATCTCCACTATGCCAATGATGTTATGGGATGGGCTGGGCTCACCCACCAATTAGCCGAGAATTGTTATGCAATTGTCCATCAGACAGAGTTTCCCTCGTGGGATGCTGGTTGCCTGGATCTGTCTCGTTTGATCAAGGCTGAAGTGCGCGAGGAATTGAAAGTTGATGGTCCTCCACCGCCTGAGATTCACCCGGATCATATCCCAGCCCAGAGTCTGCTCTTCCATTTATCAAAAAAGAAAGCAGCAGAACTCAAGAAGCTCGCTTCTCCGGCAGATAATACATGGATCTCTACTTACGATGCCTTTTCCGCATTTATCTGGCGCACAGTTACGCGACTAAGAGCACCAATATTCAAACCCGATCTCTCAGCGCCTCTATTCTGGGGAGAGGCTATTGATATGCGGCGCCGATTCCACAGTCCCAAGGTCCCCCCGCGCATCCAGCAAAACGTTGCTGCTGTAGCAATGTCGTCCACGGCACCTTGCACTGCCCCAACCGCCGCAGAAGTTATCTCAGAGTGGCCGCTGCCAAAGTTAGCCTTCTACATCCGCCAGTTGACCGACAGTGTTACGCAGGAGGCCTTAGACCTGGCATTGGAAATGGCGGCCACGGTACGCGATAGAACAGCGCTGAATACTCGGATTGATTCACAGCCACCGATGTCGGTACTCCAGACAGATCATCGCGATGCCAATGTTTCAAGTGCCAACTTTGGCTTTGGCTCTCCAGTTACATACCGTCATCTGATGGATTGTGTCACTCAAGGTGTTTTTATCATTTACCCGCCGCGAGACCTGTCTCCTGAATCGAATGATGGGCCTGAGTTCTCTCTTGCTTATGAGAAGAGCCTCAAGCAGGCACTCATTGAGGACCCGGAGTGGAACCGGTACTTTGAATATAGGGGTGTCGATGCCATGGATTCTCGTTACGAGGATACCTCTTCTGTGTGAATGTGAATTAAAATTTTATTGAGAGTATGCTTGTACATACGAATGCATTGAGCTTCTAATTCCTCTGACAAATCTACGGTTAACCATGACCACTCTGATTCTTAGAAACAAAAGTCCTAGGTTTTTATTATCCATACCCAAGCAAACATAGGGCACAACTGCAAATTCGGTTTGGATATCTCATATGGTGCACACTGGTACTGGTCACGTGTATAGTTGTATAGTTTTAATGTTCTTTCTTTGGCAACAACGACGCCCTCTGTTCTTTCTTTGCAGAAAATAACATTGTCCTTCTAGGTTGTTACGTCCTGCAGCTCACATCCTCGTCGCATCATGGCAGCTTTGTCACTATTCAAGGGCTGACTGACTTGTCTCTAACAGAATAAACCCCTGGCCTAAGCACCATGGATCAGAGCACCAGAAAATGCGAATACCCGGTCTTTCAGTACAGTAACTTCGATGTGTCCGCTATCTGTCAACTCGCAGGTGAGATGCGAAAGCTCTCATGCACATGTGATTTGAATCAGCGTCCAATGTGCGGCGGCTTTAACTGGGCAGTTTCCCTTTTATTCGCAGATGGAATCCAATGGGTTCTTCGCTCGCCGGCGCAGAACCACCCCGACCTGTCCGAAAGAAGTATCATCAAACTCCTCTTAAGCGAAGCTGCTACGCTCAGATATCTCAAGATTTACACGGACATACCTGTTCCTGATCTTCGTTCGTATGGGTAAGTGAGGTGAGCTGCAACATAAATGCCGTATCACGGAGCTGACTTTTGGAAGTGCTTATCGAAACAACCCTGTTCGGATCCCATACATTTTGATGAGCAAGGCGCAAGGCAAGTCGTTGAACACAATGTGGGGGAACGATGATCTTCGTAGCCGTCTGGATTCACTCGAAATGAACAAAGTAATATCTCAACTGGGACAAATTACATGGGACCTTGCTCAAGTCCGGTTTCCCCTCATTGAGTCTCTTTTTGAAGAAAATGGATCCTTTGCTGTTGGAGAATGCCTGTCAAAAGGCCACATCCAACATAAGAGACATTCATTGGAAGGAATTCCTCGTGGGCCCTTTGACAACGAGAGTAAGTTTTACTGCAGTCTCATTGTGGCTTTGACCAAACACGCCGAAATGCTACCATTGGGGCACCATTGCTTCACTGCCCCAATACCGTCTAGAAATGACTACGCCTATAAGGACCTGTGGCAGTGTGCCCGCGATCTTTGGAATCAATTCGTCACCGTTGGACAAAAGGTTGGCAGTGCCGCGAATAGAGTTGACTATGTTATTGCTGCAAATGTCCTCAAACATTTGATCTCTCAATATGAGTGCAACTGGTCTGGAGCCGGTCAGCTTTCCACTCTGCCACCCAGATCTCACCATGGGCAACATATTCGTCGACGATCAATACAACATTACGTGCATCATCGACTAGGCCTTTGCCACGACTGTACCCCTTCCAGTGCTTTTGTCACCACCCGGATTTCCTCAGTCGCGGCATAAGCTAGATGAGAGAGTCTGCCTTGGTTTCAGACACGGCTTCCAGGATGCAGCTGGGCCCAATACACACAATATACTGGTGGGATTGTCGGTTCCCAAGGCTATCTAGTGTGTTCAAAACAGCGAATTTGCTTGGTGTCTCACACGGTTTCTAGCATTCGATTCCACAGATGACATTTCGCTTTTTCGTACAATGTGGGGATCAGTGTACTCATCGGACCACAAACTCGAGTCGTATTTCTTTTCAGAAAGATCTCTACCGTATTATCGAAAGTTGCATGGAAAGATCAGAGAAGAGGACTTGACGGAATCTCGGATCAAAAAGTCAGAGAGTGATCTTTTCACCAAATCCTTGACCTTCGAGCTGTATTTAGCTCGTCATTTGACGATGATGTCAGACTGGGGATTCAATTATGACGCGTTCAAACAATCTGGTCTGCGAGATACAGAACAGATATTCGTAATTGAGGGGCGGGTTTGGCGATGGATTTTGGAATTCAAAAGACAACACCGCAACAGGATTGGCATTGAAGAGTGAGAGGTTTGAACATGGGCATGGGCAGTTTGAGAGAGACAGGTGCCCGGATGTGGCTCATACAGCTGACAAATAGAATACAAGTGTATTGTTAGGAAGAAAAGCAGCGAGAGATTATTGTTATGCTCAATCCATGTCCGATTTTCCAGCTCCGAAAAGACTCACAGCTCAAGATGACACGATGGTTTTTTAATATGGAGAGGCATATTTACACCAATACATTCATTCAACCCTCTCCCGTCCCATGTTGTATTGTTTGTCAGCTCCTTGAGGGCTTTCTGGGTGACGGATGGGCTGGATAATTCTATAAGCTTGAGGTTAGCTTTGGAGGTTAATTGGTCGCCGGGAAGAGATCTTAGGGGCAAGAAAGAGACACAGACCATCTCGGAATCATTGCCAGGCCGATGGCCCTTTCGCCTCTAGCAACCTTTTCGGCTTTTTCGGCTCCTTCGGTGGTATGTGGGTGGTCGTCTCCAAGAGAGCGGACCCCAATCCGATGGGGCTGCAAATGATGATGCTCTTAGGAAATGTAGGAAGGGTTGAAGAATGAAGAAGGAAGTTTACGGCCTGATGTTCTTTTATATCGCTCTTGCCTGGATTACGCGCGTTTCGCCTAGACTGCGCGCGTTCCGCCTGGACTATGCAGGGACATAGGGGTCATAGTTACATTCGGTTTTAATGCATACAATGGTGCTTTAATGCCTTAATTTAGTGCGGCAGAAAAGTGAAGATACCTGAAGTACAATTACAAAGGCCCGCGGGTGCCTGAACATCCGCTTTAGGCAGTATTTAACCCAATGAATATGAAGCTATATCTGCCATACAAATCCATACATCGTATGGTTTTTAGGCGGTTTGAACCTGAATTCAGTGATAAATAGTGTTCCGCAAAGCTCATAGATGGGCCCGAACCCCGGACTCAAAGCCCAACCAGCAGTAGGCTATTGGCCCACAGCCCATTCGTGGGGGCCTATAAGGCCCCTATCAAAGCCCATTAAGGGGGGTTTATTTAGCATCTTGTAATCGCTATATTCTGGCCCTTTTACTAGTCGCATAAACTCAAATTTAGTATTAATAACAAAAGAAGCTATATAAGTATATATTTTAAATTCAAATAAAATCCAATTAGGATAGGTCGAGATACTACGAAAAAAGAAAAAGAATGTTTTAAAACTCAATAACTATATAACTATATAGGATCTAGACGGGAGTACTACTACCTTCTAGGTGAACTTCTGTAATTTATAAATTATCTAAATAACGTGTTTTCTCGCGATTTTAAACACCACGTAGAGATATAACTAGTAACGGACTCTAAACCATTTAAACTAATAAAATATTACTTTTAGTATAAGGCTTAGAAACGGGGTTAAAACAAAGGGTAATTTTAAAATCCCTAAAATGGGGGTTCAACTTCCCAATTCTCAGCATATTTGTACTGTTTGAGGCCCAGTTGGGGGCCTATTCACCCGCAGTGGGCTTTTCCTTAGGTCCATCGCCCACCGATGGGCCCGAAGTAGGACCCAAGCCCAGCCCATTTGTGGAGCTCTAGTGATAACCCTGCAAAGCTCGACAATCGCCTTGTCACTTTACTCTACCAATCTTAATAGATTTGTATTTTATTATATTAACTAGATAATTAGTAGTTTATCTAACATGGTACGTTTTTATACTTGAAAAGCAGGCTTTGTAGAGTGTCAATATTGATGGACTGAGGTGGTAACCTTAGCCCTAACTAGAGAGCCCTGGAGCCCTGGAGAAGTTGACGAGTTACGTATAGTCCGGCGTACTAGTTATTCCGTGCCGAAAGCTTTACAGTACACTATATTCTGAGATCTGAAAGCGATCAAGATTAATGCCAACACCCTCGCCGTGGAATCACTATCTACCGTTGACTAGTCACAGATTGACCCCGAAGGCTTTTATATCCATAAAAGTATGCTCATGGATAGCGAAACTTCTGTATCGGGAAGAATGCAAATCTATTTACAACATACGATCACATCTGCTAGGTACGTACAACAGCGCCTCAGCCGCCAGAGATATGCCGGCGATCGGATCCTTTCCGCGGGGGACCAATCAGGACTCTTCGTATTATCGAACGCCCCTGGGCCCTCGATGGCCTGCTCGTACGCTTTTAAGCTTTACCGGGATTGGCTGGTTTTGATAGGCCCAGCCCATTATCTTATCGTTATTATGTACTACCTCCAGTGCGTTCCAGCGGAGATCTCCGACAGCCTTGTATACTTCCCAAGGTTATGTTCCACATTAATATAACCACTGATTTTAATCAAGGGGCCCCCAGCCTTGTGGAGAGCTCCGATGGGATTCCATTGATAAATCATAGATATGATAACGGGCTAATATAGTGGGTTTCATATAACTCAATCGGTCAATGTCTGTCTGGTGGTATGGATATGCCTCTGTCTCGCATCTTTTGCGTCCCTTGCTTGGGAAATCCCCATACTATTGACCCACTAATATGTCTCTTTCACCTCGAGCCGCCCTTTATGACCTCGGTCCAAGGCTCCTGAGAGATATTTGGACGCTCACTGCCATCGCCATTGTCATAGTCTCTTTGAGGGTGGCAGCAAAAATAAAGATTCGGAAATTTGGCTGGGATGACATTCTCATGGTTTCAGCATTGGTTAGCCCGTTCACGTCATGTCTCGGGTTTTATAATAATTTAAAGTGTCAAAACTGACCTCTTATCTGACACTTAGTGTCTTGCTATAGTAGGATCAGCTCTGATTACCGTGGGCATCAACTATGGGTTCGGTCGCCATGTTTGGGACCTTGATACAACTACGGTCGTTCCCAAAGTTGTTATGTTCGACTACCTAACACAGACGTTCGGCATTGCTGGCGGTACTTTGGGTCGCATCTCCTTCATTGTCTTCGTCATCGGTTTACTGGGCACCAAAAGATCACATAGAGTGATATTATGGATCATAGTGGGGTTACAAATCTTGACTAATTCGATATTGATCATTATTCTATTTGTTCAATGCCCGGGACATGCATCTGCTATCTGGAATCAGGATGGAAAAGATAAATGCTGGGATGTTCGTATCCAAGCATACTACGGGTACTATCAAGGATGTATGAGTTTCTATTTATTGCCCTGACCTATATATGATTGAGACTAATTATTGGACTATGAACAGCATTTAACTCAGCGACAGACCTTTATTTGGCAGTTTTTTCAACATATATATTCTGGAATTTGAATTTGAAGTTGAGGGTCAAGCTGGGCTTGGTCGTACTCCTTGGATTGGGCATTTTGTGAGTGATGAGTTCTCGGAACCTATTTTAAGATGTATCCAGCTAACACAGTTATCACGAATTTAGTGCCATGGCAGCCTCCGTTATGAAAGCAGTCCAAACCCAAGTCCTCGCACGCGCAGACGATGATCCAACTGTTGCAACCGTCAACTACGACCGCTGGCTATACATCGAAGCCTACTTGGTCATTATAACAGCATCAATACCTTGCATTAGATCGTTATTACGATCTGTTCGAGGACGAACAATTGAAACTGGGCGGAGCGCATACGAGTTGAGTTCGCCATACGCTAGAAACTCGATACCCACATCTAGATCCCGGAGATTAACACCGACAATAACCGGAAAGTCGATGATACATATCTCTGATAATTCTAGCGCGGATGATATTTTGGAATGGAATAATAATGAGATTGATGGAGTACACGAGATGACGGAGTCGAAAAAGTCGATACATGTGTGTGTATAGAATTCTATAGACATTGAGCTTGATAAAAGATACTCCAATTCCAAATGTAGTTGTTAATTAGTATGGCTTCAAAAGTGAGATGATCGAAAGTGGGCAGGCAGTAATCTCGGGGATACGAGGTTGGCATCACCGCTCTCAACCCAACCTGCACGTAAGCACCTCGCGGCCTAAACAAACTCCAAAATTGCAGCCGAGAAGTGGATAGAAGGCATAATGTGGCCCTTTTCAACATATCCAGAGAAGACAGCGGGTGATGTAGCCGGAAAGACGTTCGACTACATCATCGTCGGTGGTGCGTGTCACTTCCCTCGACCAAAAGCCATCAAATCGACTAACCCCAAAACAATTCCCCAGGCGGTACGGCAGGATGTCTAATCACGAACCGCCTTTCCACTTCTCCAAACGCTTCAGTCCTAGTCTTGGACAAGGGTCGCGTCAAGGCCGGGGTTCTCTCGCGGATCCCGCTACTCGGCATTCTGCAGAGCGGGGTCGTCCGCTACCACGCCGAACCCAACGCGCACTTGCGCGGGCGACATGTGCAACTTCTTGCCGGCGAAATGCTGGGTGGTACCAGTCGCGCTCACTCCATGGTATGGAGTCCTGGCGGCCAGCCCGAGTTTGACGGCTGGGCGCGTGAGCTTGGGCTGGATGAGTGGAGCTGGGAGAAGGTAGCACCGGCGTTTGCACGGGTGGAGAAGGAAATTCCGCGTAAAGGAGCGGGTGATTTAGGACTCATGCCGTATATAGATGCAGCGATGGAAAGAGTAGGACTGGATGATGGAGGGGGAAAGCGAGGCACTCAGCGATATACCCGCAGCGAGGTCTCGGTTGATGCAAATGGGAACAGGGTGTCTGCTTTGACGGCGTGGCTGGATGCCTCGGTTGTGAATGAGAGGAAGGGGCGACTGACGGTGTGTACAGGCGTGACAGCGACGAAACTTGAGTTTGAGGATGACGGGACGATGGTTACAGGCGTATGGATTAAGTCTGAAGGGGGTGCGGACATTTTGGTCAAGGCGCAACAGGAGGTGATTATCTGTAGCGGCGTTTTCGGTACGCCGCAGCTGCTAATGCAAAGGTTGGTTGTGATTTCCAGATAACCTCGCTTTGCGATGCTAACAGCTAACAGTGGCGTTGGCCCCAAGGACCATCTGTCCGCTCATAAAATTCCAGTGGTGCATGATCTCCCCGCAGTGGGTGCGAATTTGACCACCCACATCCTTGTACCAGTCATGTCAGAGCTCCCACTCAAGCACACACTGCATATCATTCAGACAGCGGCTATCTTATGGCACTTTTTGCTGTGGCTCTTCTCCGGCACTGGAGTCCTTGCCTCTAACGGTCAATGGGGCGCCGCATTTCTACACTCGGATACACTCAACGAGGCAACAATGACAGTCGTACCTCCTGAAGACAACGAGAAGAAAGTGACCGATCTTGAAATCCTGATTGCCCCTCTTAGCACGCTTATCGAGTACGGTGTCCCCGGAGTGCCCTGCGTGACGTGGTACGCGGCTCTTGTGCAGCCCCACACCACAGGCAGCGTTGAGCTGTCGTCTGGCCCTGATGCGAAATCGCCCCTGAAAATCACACTCCCGTTGCTAACAGACGCCCGCGATAGCGCCCGGTTGCGTAAGGCGGTACGGTTCGCAATGCGGTTGGCAGATGAGTTTGCGGGGCCGGATGTCGGGTATCCACACCCGGCGCCGTTGACTATGGCTCCCGGGATGGGCTTAGAGTATTTGGACGGTCTTATGGACAAGAAAAAGAGCAAGAGCGAGAAGAGAAAGCTTACAAGGGCGTTGCCACTACAGAAGGACGCTTGGAAAACTGTCACTGATACGGACATTGATGAGTATATAAAGAGGTTGGTAACAGGGAGCTATGATCCCGCTGGCACGTGTCGGATGAGTCTTAGAAAGGAAGAGGGTGTAGTAGATCAGAGCCTGAAGGTTTATGGAGTGCGCAACTTGCGAATTGCAGATGCGAGTGTGCTTCCTCGGTGTGGGGGTGCTTCGATCTCGGCGTCCATTTATATGATTGGGGAGCGGTGCGCTGAATTTATCATGGGAGAGGATGAGTTTCCTTCCTAGATATGCTGGAAGATTATATTTACTATAATTTGTCACGTCGAGGATGCCTGAAGCTCTCGATACTCCTTCAAGGCAGGAAGACTATAATATGGTACATGGAAGACGGAAAATGGAAGCACTTCCGAAACTCCAGCCGCCATTTCAGCGGCATCGCCGTGTATTTCCGCAGAATGGAACATTCCCGGGTCCACAATGAGAAGATCCATCTCTGCCAGCGCTTGCGCTAGGCCCCATGTATTCCCTATCGTATGAAGACACTGTATCACCCATCGACGCTGTGGATGAGTTGGCCCCTCGACGATGCCGGCAATAAATAGGGGCCATAGCATCATGAGACCGCCCAGGTAGCTCTCTGGTGGAAGTATAGCCGATTCTGGAAGCACTTCCGAGTTACAGGCACCCAGATGAAATGGAGTACTGCGACAAATGTCGGCGCCGAGTCGACGGATGGTTGAGCGCAGAGACTTGCTGTATAAGCGCAAATCATCGGACAAAGATGTAGGCGAGCTGCTGGATAGCTTGTGGACTTGTGATAATATAAGCTCACTGACAAAAATGCGCGCGCAACGGTAGTGGTTCCAGCAATTGGCTGCCCATATCCCTGGATAGATGTGGTACTCATTGTTGTAGGGTCGAATTCCGTGACAGCGGCGTTCGAAAGAACGGTCTAGCGGCATGAGTGTATGACTACTGTATGTAAAATCTGGTGGTAGCGCAGCCAACCAGGCGAGAAGGTCTGCTTCGATGGCACAGGCTGCACTAAGGATCTCTTGGGGATCGGTCAATGTTTGCGTGTGAATATTTGCCCGTAGATTCGAAAGATGGCCGATGATTAAGATAATTTTAGTACCAACGGCATTTTTTATCTGAGGAATCATGTCGAGCTTTGTAAATTCCAGTAGAGAGCTGGGCACAAGCACATCGCGCTGGAGACAACTGATGATCTATGAACGGATTAGTCTTTCCTTCATAGCTCTAACGATTGTCTCTAACGCACGATCTGATACCGTAGATGTATGAAAAGCCGGATGCCTACTTCGCTTTGCAATTGTGTAGCTCCCCGGTGCTTTAGTAGAGCTGCCGCCCCACAAATATGGTTCGTCCACCCCTCGATGCCCTGCGGAGCCCTTGATACCACAATCTGCGGATGTTGGCATTTGCCTTTTTCCCCTTGGGTTGGAGGGAAGTACTCACTTCATACAGAGCTAGAAGAACAACTGCGCCAAGTGTCTGGTTTGTCTTAGCTTCGTCGGCATCGGCAAGCGCCTGATTCACTAGCTTGAGAGCATATCCATATTCCTGATGCGCAATGTGGCTGAGTGACGCGGCACGTCGAACACGCGAAAGCATGGCGCTGGCAACCGCCACGATGCTGGATTGTATAGCTCGCTGGCCTAATGAGCCACCGGACTCCATGAGAAAATCGGTTAACATGTCTGTTATCAGGACATTTCCGGGAATGGCGTGCGACTGGAGGAAGAAGCAAATAGCCTCCTGCTTCGAAATTCCCGTGTTGGGGTGTGTCTTCACCGGACTTTGCCTGGCCTGGCGCTTCCAAGATCCATGGCCAAGATCGGGACCGAAATCATACGCTAGGTCGTCCAAGCCCCCGGATGAGTTTGTGGCGACAGATGATGCAGAACTTCGTCCTAGGTAGGCAGAACGAGGCGAACGGGACGGCATTCGGTGCCTGAAAGAAGATGACGGGGTGGAAGCCGTAGAAGAAGACTGAGAGGAACGCGCTTTGCGCAGAACGGATTCGGTCTCATCGCGGAACATCAGCGACAACTCATCGCGATACCCAGGACATTCTCGGTTCTTTCGAATGCATTCCCCGCAGGCCGGTCGGGCCTGGTCGCATTTGATCTTGCGTAAGCGACAGATTCCGCAACCTTTGCTAGGTTTTCCATCATTTACCATAGTGCAAATGCTTTTAATTGGATTAGTAGGGTTAGTAAAGTATCAATGGTTTTGAGGCTGGAGTGATCAGTGTTGAAAAATTTCAAGGATGTCGATTGGGGTGAAGTCTTAGCCCCACGACATTGGGCTGAGATTAAGGATCTAACCCGCATGGATCAAAGATCTGCATAAGTAAGTCCATGGGTGTCCACAGACAGACGTAAACAGACAGCTGGCACTCAAAAAGCTTGGACTCTATCCATCAAAGCTTAGATTTTGGCCTTGTGATCCACATTCACTTCCGTTGGCCATGCCCCTGGGGCTCATGGGGATGCTACCTCATACCGGAGAATTTGTGGCTGAACAGTTGGAATAGGCTAAGCAGTCCGGGAATAATGTATCCAGATACATGGAATACTCGACCTCTTAATATCACCAAACTCGTCCGGGGGGGCTAAACTGCTAAATGGAGGTTGTGTGGAGCTAAACCCAAAAGGGATAGCGATGCGAGGACCAATCAGCTGTGGAAAACTTACATCCAACTTCCCAGGTTGCATATATCAGCCTCAACATTTTGTTTTCGAGTGAGACACTGGGGTAAATGAGATGATCGTCATTTTTCTACAATTGGCAGTCGACGCGTGGGAAGGTGCTCAATGGACAAATCTACTAAGTCAAAATACCTCAATATCTCGAGACATTTACTGGTAATTAAGAGAAGCACTGGCCCCAAGACTCCCCCGATATAGCTAATTGATGGATCATTTGGGAGAGTTCCATTGTCATTCACACCGTAATATGGATATATTTGGCCCCCGATGGGCCTTGAATCTTATTTAAAGGGACGAGCTGAATACTAACTTTCATTGGGCATACCTAGGTAACCACGTTTGGAGGCTAAATCTAGGGACTCGTTAGGTGTTGCAAAGTTTTGGGGGCCAGTTCAATACTCGCATGTAACAACCAAACTTCTCAAGGCTGATTGGCTCTCGCAATATGCGCTGTAAGTGAATTAGCGTGGTACCTGAAAGTGTGCATTTCGTCGGGATGAAATAAGAAGATATTATCCAAAATAAATGAAGCCTGAACTAGTATAAGAAGGCTGTGATCTCTTGCAGTAAGATTTTGCTTTTCATCTCCATCTAATATTCCATTAATCGTCCCCTGTGCAATCTCAATCATGAAGCTGGCTTTGACTGCTCTTCTGCCAGCCTTTGCGGCTGCAATACCTTCCCCCCTTCTGTCACAATTGATGCTGGCGCAGTCCAAGGAGGAAGATGCGAAAATGGAAAAAATGCTGTCTTCTACAAGGCAATTCCCTTTGCTGAGCCTCCTGTTAATGAACTGCGCTTCGAGCCCCCCAAAGCATACAAGAAGCAATACTCCCAGGGTAAACTGGATGCAACAACTTCGGCCCCAACCTGCATTCAATTCTCAGATGACTTCACCGAACAAAAATTGAACACATCTGCACTTTCATCTGAAGACTGGTAAGTCAACTCATTGGGTCTCGGACCTCTCAATTATCTCATTATTTGTGAAGACGGAAGATCATACTAATACACCAATGTTGCAGCCTTTACTTGGATATTTGGGCACCGTCTAATGCTACTAAAGACTCAAAGCTTCCAGTCAAGGTCTGGGTCTACGGTGGCTCGGAAACAGAGGGCTCCATCTCGGACCCCTTGTACGATGGCTGTAACACGGCAGAGGCAGGCTCGATTCTCGTCTCAGTAAACTACAGACTTGGTCCCCTTGGATTCATGGCCCTTGAAACTGCCGGAATTTACGGTAACCAGGGAATTCAGGACTTGATTCTGGGGTTAGAGTGGGTTCGCGACAACATCGCGGCCTTTGGTGGAGACCCGGTATGACCAAATCTGCATTAAGCTACAATCAAAAGGCGAGAAAGGGAAGCTGATATGTGTGCTCTACTCCAGAAAAAGGTGCTTCTCTTCGGCCAATCAGCAGGTGCTGAGAATGTATACATCATTGGTTCTCTTCCCCAGGCGCCTTCTCTGATCAACGGTGTCATCGCGGAATCGGGTGGTGGTAGGAGTGTGTCCTCAAACTCGACTCAGCAAGAAATGGGCGCATCATTTGCTCGAACTCTCAAATGCAGCTCTAGTGATGTGAGTGGCGAGACTTTCATTTGCGATTTAGGTAGAGGACACTGACATTTTCACAGAAATCCTGTCTTCAGTCTAAGACAATTTCTGACTTTTATGCCGCATACCCAGCCGATGCTTTCTTGACTCAGGGAATCGGATACTACGGTGATGGATCTCTCAGTATCCTTAGTAAGGGAACTCATAATTTCTACCCCTATGTGGACGGCAATGTCATCGCCGAAGACCCCTACGATCGCGGAGTACAAGTGCCAACTGTATTTGGATCCAGTATGTGCATGATTATATGTTTTCTGGGTGAAATCTTGCTGACCTACCAACCTTCAGATTCGAATGAAGCTATTGTTTATACTTTACAATGGGCCAGTAAATCCAACCAAATTCCGACGACATCAATATACAAAGATTTTCTTCGCCACAACTTCGGCAATGCCGCCTCGCTTGTTGGAAAGGCCTACTTGCCATCTCTATTCGAATCGGAGGCTAAGGCTATCTTTACAGCTTCGAGTCAATTTGCTCAGATTGGCTACAACACGACCGCACTCGAAGTACTTTTGGCAATGACGCAGGTCATAACCGATTCTACCTATAGGTGTCCGGCATGGTACGGTGCAGCGCAGGCCAGTCGCAAAGGCATTCCCACTTGGACGTATGAATTTTCCCACAGTCCAACGTGCGCTTGGCTATACACAATAGATGCTACCGATGTTGGCTTTTTCGGCGGCGCTCACACAGCTGAAATTCCCTTTGTCTTTGGAAATCTGGACAATTCATATCTCCCCAATGGAACTTGCAATTCCACATCCGATGAATGGCATCTCGGAAGCCAGATGATGGATTTATGGACTGCAATGGCAGAAAATGGTGAGCCATCAACAAAGGGGATTGAGTGGCCGCGATTCCAGACCCAAGGGAAGAACCTGTCGACTCCAGGCTTGATTTTTGAGAACTCTACTGTGTCTGGTACCATTGATTACACCGGATGCGATCTGTGGATTCAAGTCAATGCGATGCTGTCAGCAAGCAATACTACAGCCTCGGGAACACCGACAACGGTATCTGGTGGCTCGACGTCTTCGCCATCTTCCACTCAATTTAATGGCGCGACGACCCTTCTGTCTAAAACCGAGGGATACCTTGCTTTGAGTGTGCTGCTCATGGGACTGGCTGCACTTTGATGGTAGTTTAGCGTTCAAGACATTGGGAATTTGGCTATTCTAGCAATCTACCCTTGTTTGAATGATCTGCCTACATACATATATGTACAACTTAGTATGCTTGCCTTCATTAGATGTGAATATGGTGGTTTTGTGTTTCCTCTTCATTTTTCCAGTCATACTTGTCCAATTGCTACGATTGAGCCCCCTAGAAGGGTCTTAGCCCAAACTTTCTATCGTATACAAAATTATTAATCTGTTCACGCCCACTATCTCCTCATAGTAGTGTTCATGGCTCCCTTCATCAAGAAACCTTGGAAATTAGTTTTTGGAGTCGATCGGGGTCAGTGGTTACCCGTTCGGGCCGCTTCCAAGGTTCCAAGGTTAAGGCTAGTCCCCACACATCCATCGGCGCGCTCCGACACTTTGGGGGGTTTGGGAAGGGATATCAGGGCCTTATAACGAACACAGATTTCACCAAACTTAGTGCAAAAGTTGAACGTCGGACAGGTATCCATTCGTATCATATTATATTGCTCGCGAAACAGATTAAAATCCCATATTAGACAACTTTCCAAACCACCCTTTCTGCACGAGGCTGAAAGTGGATATTTATAAAACTAAGCCAACCTCGCAGAGCAACTCCTTTTCCACCGCAACACATCCAACCCACACATGCGATATACCAATAGACCTCGACGAACGAAGCTTTATTCAAGCATCGGCTTCGATCTTCTCGGTAACGGTACCATCCTCCTGAACAACGATCTTGTCCACATTTAGGGAGGCCTTGACGGGGTTGGGCTGCTGGTAAACCCACTCCAACTGTTCCAGAGTTCGGCCCTGGGATTCGACACTGTAATAGCAGGGGTTAGCACGAAAGGGATTTGAAATGTGGGAGGAGTGTAAACGGAATCGTAATAAGCTTACCAGAAGAAGTACCAGAAGACGGACTCGACAACGTCCCAGCCGACAAAGATCCAGAAGTAGTTGGTAGAAATGTTCGCGAGACCAATGGGCGTAGCAAACTGGCTGATGAAACTAATGCTGCTGACCATGAAGCCGGACAGAGCCAAGCCCTTGGAACGAGTGGTTGTCTCCAGAGCTTCGGCCGGAATGACACCCTGGAGGGGAGTGTAGGTGAACGAGAAGACCACGTTGAAAAGGTAGTAGAAAGCAAGAGCAGCCTTGCCCTTGGTCTTGCCGATTAAACCAGTATTGGCGACTTCCTGCAGGATACCGGCATTGATACCCAGGGCGACAGCGCATGCTATATATTGGTTAGCCGGGCTGACTTTGAAGAAACTGGGGGGAACAATAGATGAGACATACCAAAAGTACCGAAAATAAGAACAGGGCGACGACGCATCCTGTCGGTGAAGTACACGGCGGTCAATGCACCCACAGCTGAGATAATAGAGTTGACGAGGTTAAGCAGCAATTGGGTTGAGCTGGACTCGTATCCAATAGCCTTGAAAATAGTGGCGTTGAAGTAGCCAAGACCGTTGCCAGACCACTGTCCAAAGACGGAAATCATGATGACCTGTGCGAAACGCCAGCGTCCACTCTTTGTCAAGATGAATGGTCGGTCTAGTGAGTTAGAAACGTTGGTCAGTTGCTATTGCGACAAATAGTGATTATATCAGCATTGCAAAACTTACAATCCCACCATCTCTTGTCAATGCCATCAATTCGAATACCTTCCTTCATTTCCTCAATCTCAAGACGGACCAATCGAGCGTTGGGGTCACCATTTCCGTGATACTTGACCAGGAATGCCTCTGCCTCTTCGTTCCGGCCGTTGGCGATGAGCCAACGAGGTGACTCGGGGATGAACCAAACGGATATAATGACAATAATACAGGCAAAGCACTGGCAGATAAAAGGAATGCGCCACTGATAGTTGTTACCAATGAAGTTGGTACCGTATGTGATAGCGGCAGCAGGGATGGAACCACCGAACCAACCGCAGTTGTAGAAGCCTGTTTTAAGGTTAGAACCGTATGTTATTTTAAGAAGGATCAAGATACTCACCAACGGCTCGACCACGCCAGTGAGGTGGAGAAATTTCAACAGCATAGGCAGGAGCGGAGACGACCATGATTTGAATACCGACACCTAGGACGAATCGACCGACAACGAATTGGGGCAGTGTCATAGCACTGGTGATAATGACAGCTCCAATGATGATCACCCATCCACCAATAAACATGCACTTGCGACGACCAAGCCTGTCGGAAATGATAGCGCTGATGGGAGTGCAGACAATAGAGCCACTGGGAACAATTCATATCAGTTGCCATAATATGTGTAGAACAGAGAGAAAGCATACACTGTGTAGAGCGACGTAACAACGGAGACCTTGGGGCCATCCATTCCGGTCTTGAAGACATTTTGATAATGATCCATGGCGAGGATAGATCCCATCAGAGATCCTATATTCGGTTAGTCGATGCCATTTTCTAGTGTCGATTGAATACTAACCATCATAACCGTTGGCACAGGCACAGCAGAATGCGACAAAGATACAGACTGTAATGGTCGCACCAGACGTTAGTGTCTGGGGAAATATTTGCTGCATTAGTCCAAAGGTTGTAACTTACAGTACAAGTGCATGGATTCCTTGCTCCATCTTTCGATCTTGGTCTCTTCAATAGCAGCGAAAAGATCGGCCTATATTGTTACCGAGAACTAGGTCAGTATTTCGCCCGTACACGAAGATTTTCGAAACTGACATTCTGGACCTCCTTGGTCTTTGCGCCCTGGCGCTTGGTTGTCTCCCCATAGCCAGCGATAACTCGAGCAGGGTCTTCAATGCCAGAGGAGATGCCATACACCTCCTCGCCTGCCTTCTTGTCGTCCGACATGATATAATTCCGCGAGTATTGAAGCCGGCGATCTCGGTAGATGATCCGGTCGGTGATAGACGGGACTGGCGCGATGAATCGTGAATTTCATGAACAGCGGGGCAGCATGTGGTTCTTATACTGTTAGCAAGTCACATCACCTAGTAATTAAGGAAATGACTATAATCCTCTTTGGGAACGATTGGGTGGAGTCTCCGGTTCCCCAGACTCTCCATTATCTTGTGACCCCGGACCCCCTGTTGTCACCAGTAACAGACGCCTCCAGTTGGTGGCTTTTTCAAATAACTCCGCGTCCTGATTGGAATTGGACATTCCCCAATCATACCATTCTTCCCCCACCATAGTCGCTATATTTCGATTGCCATCTTGAAAAAAATTAGGGTCTGATGCCGGGATGATCGGGCCTGTATCCCGCTTAGCGAGACTGGTGAAACTTGTTCGAAGTGTCCAAGCTGTTGGGGCTAGCCCCTTTTCGAATGTACCTAGCTACTCTCAATGCACAAGGAGCGAAGGAGGGTCGCGAGCCTCAAATTCAAGGCCAAATATTTACTACAATAGTTCTAGACCCATGGTTAGGTACATATTCACATGGCCTTCGTAATATTGCTTAATTTACTCGACACGCCTCTTCATGTGAGTGGCGATGTGTTGATGTTTTATTTTGGGATTCTTCTATCTATCCAGCTTGACAACTTCACATGTTCTTGCCATCTACCAAAGTTGCGTGGCTCAAAAATTACCTTTCCAATGATGCCCTCAGTATGCCACATATCCAATTCCCTTGTCTCACGAGGGCGAAAAGTTAGAAACGTTGCACGGAGCTACTGTCAGCGCGGAGTCTTCTCCGTGCTGGATCCTTCACGGACTCCGGGGTGCTTCCCCCACAATCCACTAAACTGTTTACACTCGACTTAACTTCTTTTGCTAGCTGCTGCTCTAGCTTATTCCCTTAGATTATGGTTGAATGTGCCATTCCCTCGACCATTACACTTCATCAAATTTCGGCCCGAATCTCCCATCAGATGTTCACCGCAAATGCCACTGAATCTAAAGGGCTGACCGTGCGTTGCGTTAGGTTTGCATGAACAGAGATCAGATCGATCTAAACTCGCTTCACAGAGCGCCATTACGGCGGAGGTTGGGCCGAAGACGAGGAACCAAAATATCACAGCTCCGGGCCGAACTGAGAATTTCTGGAAGCGACACTTCCGGAACGGAGATGGCCACGGAGATGGACCATAAAAGCTCAAGAAGGGCGTAGGGTAATTTCAGCCACGCATAACTCCGTACGGAGGATGGACGCCTCAGCTAGTCATTTCTCGGAGTCACCCGTAATTGCTTGGCAGCGGCGCTGACTGAAATCATTAAAAAGGGGGTGTTTTCCGTCAGGAGGCTGGGGGATTTGTGTGAGACCGTCTGCCAACGATTTATTGGAAAAAGAAATATCCCAAATGTTTGAGTGCACATCAAATGATGCTGTGAGAAAGAGTCCGGGGTAGGGAAGGACATCCTGCGGGTGGATATCCTGGAGTTCTGGGGTCGGGTGTCCACACGGACGAAAGCAAGCTAGCGAGCAACCAGTCCCGACGAGCGTCGGGAATCAGCGGGCCTCGGCCCATTTTGTTCCAAATAGTCGGTCGACATGAGTGTAGGGTCTTGGCATACATGTTTTCTTACCGTCTTGTCGGGGTTGAGAGGCAAACTTCGGATAACAACACACATTTATGCGCTGGAATTGTTAATCCCTCGTTCGCTAGAATATATATTTCGAATACATGTTCTTTAGGCAAGAGAATGACTCTTCATACACTCACCAGACTAATATTTGGGGGAGATTGGGTCAATATGGGATGTCTTTAGGTACAGAATACGCAGTACCATATAGATGGCAGTATTGAACTTAGATCGGCGCTTGGAAGCTGTCGACATTGAACCCTTCGCAAACAATCAATATTATTCAGGTATATTCTGCTATAAGCTCTCAAATGTTTAACATGATTAGGTCCTAGCCATATACGGAATACTCCGTACGGAGCAGTCATAAAGTCAAGCCTCGCTGGGCATTGGCACCGCGCTATGGAAGTCTATGATGACGACCCCAAACCTTGGAGTACGTATACAGTCTACACGTCGACCCGAACAAATCTCTACCTAGGTACTTTGCTATTCTCACCAACCCTTAGTGATCAACAACATTGGATCCCTCCAATTGGTTTATCCCTCTTGCAAGTTTCGTTCATGTTATGGGCGAATTTAACAAACCAGTGACATATTCCCCTAGTCGAAGGGAGAACCTACTACCTCTGATACTTCAGAAACTACCAAGCTCCTCTACTCGCCAAGAATCCATGAAACACTGACTTCTCTTTTTTCTATTTCTGCGACTCTCTGGTAATTCTCCGAAACGATAACCTCTCCAGGGGAAATATCGTAGCGATGACGCAGAATTTTAGCAGAAACCATCCAGCAACACTATCTCGGATCATCCCTACTTGCAGAATGCATTTTGCGCCCGGCGATATCCTCCAAAAAACCACCGTTAACCATATACCTCTCGAGTTTTCCATGGCTGCGAAGTTGTTATACAATTCTGTTTACCGGAGCGCAAGATATGCGAAAATTACCGTAGCCATATTAGCACCCGTGGACCCGGAAAGACCTAGGGTGCTCTACTAGGACCTGTTGCCAGTTCCTTAGGCGTTTCGGACTCTGCAGCAGATCATATCACTGGATACCGACCAAATTACCCACTATACGATGCCAAGCTACGACAGACGTTGGAGATATCATCATATTATGTGTCATACTCCAGTGTCAGAACAAAACTGCTCATTACTCGTTTAGATGTAGAGCTATCCAGTCGTGTTTAGTTATATTTTGTCTTTGGACGATTTTCCCCATACAAAGAGCTGTAGAAAGATAACTAGTAGACCTTTGGGGAATATTAGCTTGATTTTAAATTGGTCATTTAATACGACAACCTCGGGAATACACCTGGGGTTTCCTTAAATTTGTCAGCATGTTAGGGACCCGGGATTGTTCTGATGACTGAACGTCCCCAATACAATTACAAAATACATACACAACAAGGCTCAAGACATCCATGGATCCATAAATCCAGCCTATAGGGCTTCGGAGAGAGGTCAAGAAACTTGTAACACTTTTCCAATATGACATGCTACCGTCATTCACGGATATCTTTCAGGGTTCTCCCAACTTCTAACCTGTCACGACCTTCCAAGGTTAGAAACATGTATCAATCGTAACACAGAAACTGTAATCTGCCTACCCAGGTGTTTCTGCTAAATGCTGATACATCGTTGTTACACGCGGCCTGCATGGCTCGAATTGTTGATTTCTCATCAATGCGGACCAGTCGTCATTTTAGATTGGTCATCATCTCCCGAGTACGGTTGAGGGTTGTGAGATACGCATTGGGGAGAAATCTCAACATGGCGAATATAAATAGGGTGGTCTGCTGGCTCTTGAATCCAAGGTAACTTTCAACCCCATATTTTAGCAAGACAATCTTACTACGAAATCAGTACGCTGAGACCATCATGTCTGCCCCATCAGGAACAGCTATCGTTTTGATCGATCCTTACAACGACTTCCTCCACTCGGACGGGAAACTTACATCGGCGCTCAAGGACCTTGATGAGAAAAATACCATCAATCACCTAAAAGAGGTAGTTGCAAATGCGCGTCTCCATGGTGTTCCTATATACTATGGTTTGCATCAACAGTGGATACCAGACCATTACAACGGATGGCAGCATATGACCCCGAACCATGTCCGCCAGCAAGAAGTACGCTTGTTTGAGGAGGGAAGTTTTGGTTCTCAGATCTATGAAGGCCTAGAGCCAGACCCAAAGAATGGTGATGTGGTTGTGAGCCGCCACTGGTGCAGCGAGTAAGAAACATGCATATTCAGCTCACCAGACAGCATGCATGAAGGAACTGATAACTTACCATCCTATATAGTTCGTTTTCAAATACCGACCTGGACTTTCAGTTGCGACAACGTGAGATTAAGAGATTGGTTTTTGTGGGATTAACTGCCAACACGTGTCTTGAATCTACTGCGCGCCATGCCTACGAGTTGTAAGTAGCTAAGGACGAGCAAGCATTGTTTTAAGTATAACTGACTCATGGGCTATCATTATAGGGGATACCAGGTGACAATGCTGTAAGGATTCCTTTCGTTTCATTGAATCAAGCGATCTGGGTAACTGATACATTGTCTCAACAGGAAAGACGCTACTGCTGGGTGGTCGAAAGAGCTTATTGATGCGGCAACGGACTTGATTTGGCCATTGTTTGCACAGGTTATGACCGTGAAGGATTGGGTGAATGAATGTTCTTGATACGGAGGATTTCTAGCATGGTCAGGAAATGGAGGGATGAAGGAAGACAGAGCATACGCGGGACGAGGTAGATTACAGAAAAATTAACAAAAAAAGATGAAAAGCCTGGAAAATTGATCGTACAATTGAGGCCCGACTGCTAGATCCATATACAAACTTATAAATGGGTACATTGTGACAAAAATGTGACAGTACGACAATGTACGGGTATCCATGGACGGTGTCAGGTATGATATTTGTCATTCGTACGGAAAAGTTCGCGAACGAGAATTTGAAAGGTTCCAAGGTTAACGGACAATCTGACTAAACTTAATATGCACCCGTGGACCCTCCAGGGCTGTATGCAAATACAATATTTCAAAACGTGTATCACACGACCTGCACCTGACCATCCATGGATTCCAACCTTGGAAGGAACTTGATTTGTCATCAATTGATCTGAAGTTTGATTATTAATTGCTCAACCACTCCTGGGCCCGGAGACAGGTGACTTCCCGTTGGCTAGCCTTGAATTTCAAGCTATAATCCATATACTCCCTACATCAATAAACCAAATGCCGGTGAAGAATCCGAGAAAGGCGAAGGTGCAGCCGAAAAGCCCGACACGTGGTGTGCGAAGCAAAAGACAACGTCGCATGTTGTGCTCCTCGGAGACCCCTGAGATTGGCGATCAGGGCAATAATCGAGATGTCCACCAAACCCAAAGTATTGATTTGGACACAAACGACACAACCCGATCTCTTAATTGGGCTCTGATAGTTGCCAGCGTTGCTGAACAGCCATATCCTTCCCAAATCCAACAATACAAAGAATGGAGAAGTGCGTACCCTTCTCTTTCGAAGCAAATCTCAATAGATGCCCTCGAAAACTAAACCACATATAGGAGCTGGTTCAAAGCGCGAGGACTACTGCTGCATCTGCCATGAGTCTGATCGTCTCGAGAATTGTCATACATGCAAACTCGCATTCCATCGCGAGTGCTTACCCGCCGGCTGCGCACGTAATTCATATGACCACCTTTTTTGCTTGATATGCGTCCGTCGAGGCTGGGACAAAGCACCTCCAGTGCTTACACCACCCGCTTCTCCTCAGCCTGCCCCCGCCCAAATCCATGATCCTCCCAGCCATGCAACCAATGAGACCAACTCGAATGCTTCGCCGATTTCTCATCTACTAGGTCCTACATCAAGTCTAGAACTGCAACGAGGGGGAATTCAGACCCAACCCGCTCTAGGAGAATCGCAACCTAGTGCAGTTGACCGAGATACAAGCCACGATGTAACATATCCAGGGCCTGCTGGTCCGACCGCTACAGAGAGCCTCCAACCTACTGGACGTAAACGAAAATCGCGCTATGGGACGCTGCCCGGTGATGCGGATGCATCGCTTGCTCTCCAGACCGCTACAGATAGCCCTCAAGGCAATCGACGTGGGCGGAAATCGCGGTATAGCACGCTACCAACTACTGTGGATGCATCGCTTTCTGTGATTTATCAGGAACTCGAATCAATCGCCATGCTCCGAGCAGAGATCGAGGAGCTACGTACCCAAAACACCCAATACGCTCAAACCATCAAAATTCACGAACAAACTCAAGTGGCTCTGAGGAGAGACCTAAGCACTTTGCGAGAGAATGCCACCAACTCTGAAAGTACCAACAAGGAAATCAGTGAGCTACGAGAAAGAAATTCAGCTCTAGAGGCCGAACTGCTGGTTTCAAGGGAGCAGACAGCTGCGGCAAAGGAGCTAAAGGAAAGACTTGCGCAGTTGCTCAACACCTAAGCCTCAAAGTTTTTTGGTTTAGCCTATCAAGACTAAATCAGCCTTCATTTTCCATGTGTGCGAATGATAGACCTGACCTGTAAAATAACATAGGTCCATCTGTCCATACATCCATGACCATTAACTCAGGAGATTTACATCCCTTTTAATAAAACAAGGCAAGTTAGTAACTATAGGAATTTGGAAGCTTGGCATAGTTAGTTCATCATACCCTTGTTTCCGCAGTCTTCTACTTACTATGGCGTTTAGATGTTCACAAGCCTCCCATCTCCATATTTCTTCTTGTTTAGTCTGCCGCTTGATAGTCTCTTCTAGATATCGACATCAATATAGCCTTGAAGTACCGAAGCCGTCAGCCACTTAGCTATGACCTATTAGAGAGCGTCTTATGGTGTCTTGCATCCATGAATTGTAAACAATATCCTTAAAGGCATGTTTTGAAGGGCACTCTCGGCGTAATATGCTATTTCATGGCCCTCCACTTGAACTCAAGTACTCACCGCGCAGTCTGTTATGCCTTTGTCTGTTTATGAATGATTTGTCGGTTCCCTTCCCACCCATCTCTTGTGGCCTGTTATGGTCTTCATGAAGCTATATAAATGGATCCATGGCCACAAGTGTTCTCTATCTTGAAAAGTTCCTTCATCATTCCCTTCCACTTTCACACGTATAACTAAATATTCTACCTATATCTACATGTATCAACTGCAAAACCATAATGACGTTGGAAATTATCTTGCCAAGACTGTACATACTCAAATGTTTCCTCCGTTGAAGTAGATATCCAATACATCATTTTCTTCATATACGCTATCTACGTCTATTAATTACATTATCACTTGAATACCTCCAACTTTCACCCAACACCAAAATGTCTCTGCCATATCCGAGACCCGCTTTCATATTGTCGGTGTGTATCCCATATCAATAACATGTGAAAAGCGCATAACACTAACAGTGGCAATCTACAGCACAATATTCTTGGCCAGTTGGAGGCCGGTAAGTCACTCTTCCAAGCTGTTCATTCGATATTGTCACTAGATCACTCACGGTTTCGCCGTTTCACAGCCGGAACACCGTACTTTGAACCTTGCATCGCTATGGTAAGCCACCAAGAATCCCCGTGCTGAGTTACCCTATCATTCTAATATCCCTGCCTATCTGTAATAGGCTTTGTCCAGTGCTTAGTCTTCATGAGGTTGTATACATAAATTTATGGCCGCAAGTGCTCTCTACCTTTTAAAGCTTTGGTGCTTGCTCTTCTTTTTGGTTCTGCGCATAGAGGATACCTACGTGTGTCAATTGCCCCATCATAATAACTTGAAGTACATGCTTAAATATTCCCTCTGCTGAAGTCAGATATGTCTCACGTTATCTTCATATATAACTCAATCTTCTATTCGATCAAGTGACAAGATGGTTTATAGCACTATATAGCCAGAGTCCAGGATCTGTTATGGGTATTAAGACTGAGATAAGTAGCGTTGAAGTTTCCCTTCCATTACGGCCACATAGATTGCTCACTTTAAGTCTCAGATTGAGGAGGAAGTCCCGGTGTGAAATTTGGTGCAGACGCCTGTCCGCTGGGCATATATATGCACCTTCCACATCCTCTTCCACCTTTCCTTCCTTTCATTTCTCCCCTCCCATCCTTCTTCTTTCTTTTATTTCATCTTTCTCCATCTCTCGCTTTTTCATCACTTTCGACTTACATCACTTTTATCAAACTGATTGTACCTTTTCCACCATTATTCATATTTTCCATTCTTGGTTTCACTGACCGCGATATGGTAACAATGAGTTCCCGAGGGGCAAGACTCGCTTTCAATTTTTACGTGTGTATCTCATATGAATGGAAATTGAACCATGAATGATGCTGACCTGGCAGCCTATAGGCCGACATACGCGGTCAGTTAGAGACAAGTAGGTCCCAGCTCGAAGTTCTGCCTAGGATATTGTCACATATCACTAACGGATTTGTCCTGGTATAGCCGGAACGAACTATTTCGATCCGTTTGTCGCCATCGTGAGCCACCAAGCATCCTTAATACTAAGTGCCCCTGATTTTCAAATACCCTGCCTATCTACGGTAGCCTGGCGCTCGCGCCCACATCCGCAGCGCATCTGGATTTATGCCCGCTTTGGTCGCCACCGCAACCTATGTAGATAGTGAAAACACTGAGATTGTCCTTGGTGAGCACACTTAGTTCGAAGCGGTTCTGAGGATGGTGTATGTTAAAGCAAACCTTGCTGAAGAGGAATAATTACACGGGAAATTGCTAATGGGCCTTCTTATGTAGTGCACATGACGGTGCCGTGAGTCACTACAAGTCATCCTCAATCTAATCATCTATTTACATATATGCAGATCATATTTGTGAATATCTCCGCAAACCTCACCTGCCAGTAGTAATTTTGGTCATGCGATCTCCTGCCCAAAATAATCAATTCCGGGGGATACAAAAAAAACTTTATTACAGACTGGGTGAGATAGATGAAATGTGGTCATTTCTATAAAAAATTTAATGTTGGCAGATAGGCCCAAAAATCGGAATAATAATTGTGGACTAGAATAAAATTAGGCACCAAAAAGGATCGTTAACTATGGAGTACCAACCTATGGAGACCCAAGTCCCCAAGGTCCCTACAGGTTGGGCACGTGATGGAGTCATTGGCTGTCGCATGAGCAGACAGAGCAATGTTCATATGTCCATATGTCGATCTGGGGATAGTAGCCTAACTCTAATCGGGTGATCAGGTCATTTTGATCGACTGATTTAAGTGATTTGAATACATAAGGTATAGATAAGATCTTTTTTTTTACTCCGTACACGTTCTTCATCTTTCAAGTGTTTCTCCTTAAATTCACCATCGGTCTCTGATTGGTTGTCTCTTGAAGTTGTTCGGCTACCGCGCCCGCCTAGTGACGTGACCGTGCAGATAAGATATTTGCGCAAAATATTCCGAGCTTTCGACTTTCACTCTTCTCTCTTGATGTACCAGTTGGTTTAGAGGACTCATGCAGTCAATTTTCTTGCTGCTGGGCCTCTTTGCCGACGCCATCTCCGCCAGCCCCTTGGGGCAACAGCCGTTGGGCCATCTTGGTCCAGCGGAGCTACCTGGGCAACTGGTGGAGGGTTTGCGCAAACCTGTACGCGGGCGATTCTTGCATATAACTGGTGAGGGGACAGTTCTCTACCTTCGTGTGTCTGCCCCATGCTGACCAACAGATTTTCATCCCGACCGCCTCTACAAACCCGGAACCTCGATCGATCGCTCGTGCCACCGTGGTCAAGGCCCCGCGGGGTATTTTGGGGCTGAGGGCACAGATTGCGATTCACCCCTATCACTTGTGAACGAAACATTTCGCTGGATCGAAGAAAATTTGAAGGATGAGATTGATTTTGTAATTTGGACCGGCGATTCTGCCCGACACGATAATGACGAAAAGCTCCCTCGCACGGCAGATGAGATCATGGAATTGAATGTATTCCTGTCTCAAAAATGGGTTAGCATTTTCGGCGAGGAGGAGGTTCGTGAGACCTTGAATGCCGCACCCAAGATTTCGATCCCTGTGATCCCGACATTCGGTAACAATGATATTATGCCCCACAACATCTTCAACGAGGGCCCCAACAAATGGACAAAACGCTTTGCGGAGATATGGAAACCATTCATCCCAGAAGATCAGCGTCACACCTTCGTTGAAGGCGGTTGGTTCACCACGGAGGTGGTCCCCGGTCGGCTAGCGGTCATCAGCTTGAACACCATGTACTTTTTCGATTCCAACAGTGCGGTGGATGGATGCGACGCCAAGTCGGAACCTGGATATGAGCACATGGAGTGGTTGCGGGTGCAGCTGAAAATACTGCGCAGTCGCAACATGAAAGCCATCCTCATGGGCCATGTCCCCCCAGCCCGGTCGAGCGAGAAAAAGAACTGGGATGAGACATGCTGGCAAAAATATACGCTCTGGATGCACCAGTACCGTGACGTTGTTGTCGGTAGCTTTTACGGCCATATGAACATCGACCACTTCATGCTCCAGGACAGTAACAAAGTCAATATTGATTCCAAGGTTGATGGGAAGGTGTCGATCAACTCAAAAACCGACTACCTCCAGTCGCTTCGAAACCAATGGTCCTCATTGCCATCTCCTCCGTCGGGCCTTTTCGAGGACCTTGACTCCCTATCGAATTTGGAGGATCTCTCGGAAGTTGGAACGGCGAAGAAAGGCAAGGGGGGGTAAAAAGAAGGAAAAGAAGAAGCAAAAATTCTTGGACAAGATTGGGGGCCCATGGGCAGAACGATACAGTGTATCGCTCGTAGCTCCCAGTTTGGTACCGAACTTCTTCCCTAGCCTACGCGTGATCGACTACAATGTGACGGGATTGGATGATGTCGCACATAGGGCGGAATTGCTCACAGATGAGGTTGATGATACCACTGTCGGGCTCGACCATGCTGCGATTGATACAACGGGAACCAGCGATGATTCTCTGGCTGCCCCCGGAATTCAGAAGAAGAAAAAGAAGGGCAAGGGCAAGAAAAAGAAGCCCAAGTTCAAAGTCCCCGAGCCCCCATCCCCAACCGCTCCTCCGGGTCCTGCATACTCCAACCAAGCGTTCACTTTGCTTGGCTACACGCAATACTACTCGAATCTAACAAAAATTCACGAACAAATCGCGGCAGGAAAACGAGGCGATGATCCTCGTATCGACTACGAGATCGAGTACACCACAAGCGATGACGTGTATCAAATGAAAGACCTGACAGTGCGCAGCTTCTTCCAACTCGCTGCCAGAATTGGCGAGGAAGAAGCCGAAGCAAAACAGACCGACGCCAATAGCGAAGACGCTGATTGGTCTGTTGCTAAGAAAAAGCCAGTGAACAACGTGTGGCAGGCTTTCTTGAGGCGCGCATTTGTTGGCTTCCCAGTTGATGACCTGGATGAATAGAGTGATTTTGCTTTAGCGTCTTTCTTTTCTCTTTGGAAACTTTTGCATTCACGATACATAGCTTGCATCTCAGGCTTATACAGTGGAGACTTGTGCTATCACAAGATGTTATTCTAGATTATGGCCGTCGTTCAATGTTGGATATGGAACACAAGATTGAAGTAAAAGTAGAGCAAATAAAAAAACCCCCAAATTATCAAATTCCACATTATCTGCAACTTTTTACAATTCTACAATGGACTTGTCTAATTGGGCGATCAGCAAGGGCATCTGGCGGTGTAACAGGTTGGATACTGTACCTTTGGGAAATGGGAACACAACGTCAATAGAACTGCAGTTCATCAATATATTATTCGTTCCTATGTCTATGTACGGAGTACCTTAAGTACATAGATAGATGTTGTACAATGATCACTACAAACTTGTTACTTCCATCACATCACATAGGTGGATTTCCATCGCGACCACAATTACCCCCAATACCCACAATCACAGCCACTGCCAGCGTGGCAGTCCGTGCTAGCAAGGTTTAGATTAAATGCCCAGGTACATTCAAAGTAGTCTGGCCCGAGGACTTGGGCACTTAGCTGGGGAGACTGGTCCTGGAATAAGTAAATTCCCAGCCAATCTACGATGCTGCCCTAATTGTTTTTTTGCCTTGAGCCGCTGCCACGTAGCAAGCCCGTCATCACCATTTAGTTAACAGGCTCAAATTAACATCGCACGCAAAAACAAGACTAGTGCAGGACAGCACAGCATTCGCTAGATTGTACCAGAGGGAGATGACTTGCCACTGAGTATCGCAATTGCACAGGCCCTATTTTCATAGTACGTAGTAGACTTTATACAAATAGAGCACCACCTCCACTTCTAGCACACCTGTAATCAATTTTTCACAATTTCATACAATTCTGTTGATTATTGTGGGACTTCAAGACAGACTAGTAAATAATTACTATTACAGTACTCCATCCTTACGCATATCTTCCAACCCGATCTCTTCGTCATATCAGGGGAAATCCCCACGCAGCTAGCATGGCCTTGCATTTCTACGTCGAAAATCTTTCAATTTTCTGATTCTCTTTTAATCTGTGGACTTTGAATCCATACGAGCAGCCCTAACACTTACAATAACAATTCTAACCCCCTAGTGCTCCTAGCTCGAGCCCCCGAGCTAGTAGCTTCATACCCGAGACACAGTCCCCAATTCCCAATTCCTTCCCCGCACAGACTTCGCTGGCACCCAGAATCGTCGCATTTCGCATTTCGCATTTCGCCTCTGCCCCCCCCTACTTTGCCGGCCACACGATGCGTCAAGTTTACTTGCAATCCAGCCACGAGCTCCGTCACTCCATTGCCTGCTCCTTGCGTTGTTAGCCGAATTCCCAGCCACGATACAGTGTGAATACGACATTCGGAACTCAGCCGTCACTAGTCCGAAACGGGAAATATTGATTCGATTGATCGGACAGCGTTGTTCCGCACTTGTGTCTACAAAAATACGATTGGAACGTTATATACATTTGGTTATCGCTATTGGATTTGCTACCCGCACCAGGAACGAAAGCCATTGGCTGTGATATACTCCGCGGTCTGAACAGTCGCCGCCCCCTCGGGTCCCGCCGAACCTTGCAGCTTGCACCGAACTTGCTGCTCTTGGTTTCGGATATTCAGTGAATTACGCCTTTTGGATTGAGCGCGTCGCTGGAACAGTCTGAGCTTTTTGGGCGCCAAGATCTTGATTTGGCAGATCAATTGGTCCGCAGCTTGGGAATACGCGCGTGGTTGGAGCATGATTCAGTCGCTGCGTTTGGTTATTATTTGAAATTCTGTTTGCGCGCTTTTCGGTAAGTCCAAGCTGTCTTCGCCTATACCCTTCTTTGTTGGCGTATCCCTAGCTTCGCGATTGAGTTTTCTTTCGGTCAATTGGTCTTCTTTGAACCTCCACTTCGCCTGTTGCTTGAGACCAATGACCAATATGGCTGACTCTATCTGCCTAGACTCCCCAATTCCTGGGTCGTGGGATTTATGGATGGCCTCCTCTGAAGTGGACCAGAAAGCCCTGGGCAATTTCGCGGCCGTCATGGGCCTCGAAAGCCCCCTGCTCTCGGCAATGCTATACAAAATCCTCGGCGTCTCCGTCATGCTATCAAAAAAGCTACTTAGAGCCCGCAAACTGCGGCGCCTCGACACAACACGTGAAACAAGATCTCTCCAGCTGTACCATCACATCATATGGCTCTCCCGCGAAGGCCTACTAATACTGGAGGGCTACATCCTTCCTATGGTAGACAGGTATGTCGAGCTAAAAGTGCTCGCGTACAAACTCCGCGCTTCCTTCTACCATATTTTCGTCTTATTCCACAATCGCCCAATTTTCACCCCCGACACCGACATGCCAACCCGCCTCAAGCATGACTCTATATACGGCATAGATGCCCTTACCACCCTCGGCGTCTCAGACACCCACAAGTCCAAAGTGAATATGACTTCAACACCAACATCCCGCCCTCCCGGCCTACCAGTAATGCAACCAGTCCAGCCACCTGAACCAATTTCCTCCTTCCTCCTCCCACCACTAGACTACACAGCCACAGCAACAGCGTGCTTCAACCACGCAGCAGCCCTCTCCGACAAACTACTACCAGGCTCACACCCCCTCCGTCTCTCGGTCAAACTCGAATACGCAGCATATCTATACGACTGCCTTCAAGACCCTGTCGCCTGCCGCCGCCTCGCAAAACAGGCCATCGCAGACGTCTACAATGCCCAAGAAGGCATGGACGACGAGAGCTTCGAAGACGCCGCAGAGATCGTCAGTGTGCTGGGCAAGATGGTCAAACGCGGCGGGAAACCCAATTCCAGTACCGGCACTCCGGGGAGCAGTATCTCCCGCGGCGGTGGCTCACGCAGTCGCAGTAGTCGCTCGCCCAGCCATATGGATATTAGCGTGCCGACTACCGTCTCTCCAGTGCCGGTTACGAAATCTACCCCCGTTGATGGGACTCGTGTGGGAATGAGCCAGCCGGCTGTTCCTGATGCTTCTATGATTAATCCGATTTGATGGAAATGGAAATGTGCATGATTAATGAAAAGCTGGTGCTCCGATTCTTGTCATTGTGCTCTGAAATATATTGCTTCTATATGTGATTATGTATTGCTGTTTTCTGTTGGTTTCTGCTTTCAATAAGCATGTGTGTACATAGTCATTATGCACCTCTTTTGATATTTGTAGATATACGCTACGCTTTGATGACCTTCATTGAATATTCACGAAGGAATGACATGTTTTGCGCTCTATGAAATCAATTCTGCGTTGTACAGGTTGTTGTAATGGTGGGCATGCATATCACCGCGCTACTTATATGTGAAATTCTAGAAGAAAAGCAAACATTACACGTGGCAAGCCTTTGTTTTGTTTGACCTGCGCCAATAGTTCAGTGCTATAAAAGGTGGCGTGGGGTACGATAAACCTCAAATATCTTGATTTCAATTTTTATACCGTCATGCCTACTTGACATCCATCTATCCCCGATTCTAGTGACTAAGAATGATGTTCTTCTATATCAAATATTTAATCTGTCTATATACCATGATCCCAAATCTCTCACACTTCCATCTACTGGATACCACAACCCTGGTGCAGCTGATGTCCAAAGGTTGTCGGGCTCAATGTCTTCAACACCATGGCATAAGGCTGCACTGGTTCCACTCGTCGCTCTACGAGGGCTCTGGTGCGATGATTTCCTCCACAGTCCAGTGCTAAAGGCGAGAAAAGATAGAACTTGTGCTCTTGCTCTTGCTCTTGACTGTGGGATTTCCGACTTAGGGGTCCAAAATTCTCAGAAGACTTCGACGCCTCTACCAGAAAGCCACTCCTAAGATACATTGTAGGATCTGGCAATTGAGTCCGTGATGCGGTCACATCCAGGCTCTTTCAACCTTGCTTTAGAGCCCGTGGAAAATTTGGACTAGTGAGTATCCCTTGTGTCTTCGAGATCATCTTTTTAGGGGTTTTGCTAATCTCGAATTCTCTCTTATGGTAGTATGAAGTTATTCGCGGACACAATCGCATTTCACGCATTGTTAGAGTGAGTTTCCAGCTTGTGAGTTACCGAGGATCCCAGGGTTATAGAGAAAATAATAATGCTAACCTCATTTACAGCATTAAGGATGTCCGGGCTGCCGCAGTGACTATACGCTGCTTTAGCTTCCTCGGTCAACTCTTATGAGAAGACCTACACACTAGCAGGCAAGACATGCGCAAGTCTTGTGAGTCTTTGTTTCTCATTTGCTTTGCCTTCTTTCGTTTACAGTTTGCTAATAATTCCAACGATCCACCTAACTAGTCCGATATGACATCGATGCCTATCAATGCCATCTTCATATGAGGCCTCAGACCAGACTTACCGACACGGGCTTGAATTTAGACATCGAATTTCAAATGTCACCACCTAGTGACTCGAAGCAACCGAGCGGCATCTTATGGAAATCCCGGCCATATTCGCTCCTTCCTGTTAACGATACTTCCCACCCGAAACCTGTTCTGGTTGTGCAGCCTTCGATTCGACGTTTTCGTCTGTCTGGCTAGCATTCCTACTTTAAGGTTGGCGTGGTACATTTCTCCTCTTCCTTCCCGGCAGAGAATCCGGAAGTGGGCTAAGCTTCAGCATCGCCCGGGCTACTTGGCTAAGGGCCTCAATTTAGTGCTCTCCTTCTATTCGTTGTGGGGGGTGAAGCCGACAAAAGCTGCGAAATAGTAATCTTGAAGCAGTTCATCGTCGCTGTAAACGCATTGCTGAATGTAACGTAGTTATCCATGATCTTGATGCTGGTTATAACCTACCATGATGCATAGGTGAGGTTTGACACAAGTTGTTGCGGTGTCATGGTGAACACAACCCTGTCTAGGATATTCTCTATTGTATGTTCATTTGTTTACAGTATTGTCCAATTTTTTGACAATTCATCTAGGAAGGGATTTTCAGTGATCTACGAGTGGCAACAGCCCCAAATAGGAACAGAAAGGAAAGGCATAGCGTACTCCATAAGTAAGCGGCAAGCCAGACAGGGATGGCGAGTACCAAATGATATCAGTAGGGCGGTGCACGTGGTGGATCATAATGCCGATCAGTTGCTATTATTATCGGACGTTGGCGGTTGCCTCGGGCGATGGACTTGGCTCACATCATATCATGCATGAGAAGTGTAAACTCGAAGATAATATTGCACGAATCAATATAATAGTTAATGAAGTCGGTTGAAATAAATCAAGGACGCTCGAGCGGGAAAGCATGTTATTTCTATCTCAGGGTGGTCGATACGATGTTGCCAGGAACCTTGGAATAGTTATTGATGGCTCAAGCCAACATTCGAGTCTGGGAAAACCCCGAACCATCAAAATGGGAACAGCGTGGGAAAACATTCTTTAATATATTGCGGCATAGGAATTCTCAACACTAGATCAAATGGTAAATCCAAAACAACCCTAGATTATGCCCTAGATTATACTTATACTACACCTCTTCTGGCAACGCTAGCTATAGCTCCGAGATGAGTGAGGGACAGAGGGATCGCAAGGGCAAGTAGCTAAAGCAGAATATTGGGCGAAGGGTGAAGCTTCTGCGATGACCACGCAGATATTATTTTTTTGGCTATACGTAAAAAGGTTGTCTGTACACCTTATTCGTTTTGCCGTATCCATCCAAAAAGACATTAACTGCTATCTCACATAAAATATCCATATATTATCTTGAACCAGGCAAATCTGATCATTGAAGTCTGAGGTTGCCTGCGGAATATTTCCCACAGGGAGAAAATTACCAAGTGCCAGATTGCACAAGTGGACGTAATCAAAGATGCCTTTTTTTTATCCATCTGGGATAGCTGCCGGATGGCAGCGCTGCTAGTTCTGAGAGGTGATACATTGACGCATCCAGACAGCAAGGTAGGCCCTGCTTGCTTGTCTCCAGTCAGTTAGACCTCGGCGGTAAACAGATTGATCATCCCCCTGTATCTCTGTTGTTCACTCGATTATAAGTTAGCTGGCAACCCGTACCAACCATTCAAGATTCGGATAACTTCATCCTTCTACTCCTCGGCTAACGGAAACATAGAAAAATGATCGAAACCTCGTACAATGAGACTGAAAAACTATGAAACAAATTTCCACTTATTCGCTCTGAAGCCATATAACGACCCGAATGAAAAGTAGCAACGATGAGAACATGGTTATGATGAAACTAAGCTGAGAACACCTTGGGCAGGTAGTGACCGACGTGATGATTAGGAGAAAGCACCTGGAAAGCGGAAACTACATATATACTGTTGCCACTCGAGATATAGAGGTAATAAATACCTACTGAAGGCTGAAGTCGCAGCTCGAGACAACTGAAGAGCAACTTGAGAGGGTAGCCTGTATTAGACTGTGGCTTTGCCCTCCTACTCCACCACGGACCCCTCAAAGTCGAAGGACGTCTCGCTGGAGGATGACTTATTGGATGATGGCAACCCGATGGTGATCTAAAATAACAGAACGTTCCACTTCATATACGAATTTCATTGTTATCTTGGTAGCCAGCTGTGTATATGACCATTACGCTTTCACCTTATGCTCTACAATCCAAGCAAGATAGACACCCTTTGGGGGTTAATTCAAACTGTTTCACTGTACATTTGTGGGACACTGGCCACTTAGTAACACGGTGAAGCAACCTTAAAATGTTCCTCGTTTGCTATTGCAAGATAATAGCTGTGCTACTCACAAAGGCATCCATGGAGCTGCGACGAGACTGGTGGAATATTAACCGGTTGCCTCGAGCGATGGACTTGGCTCACATCATAGTATGCATGAGGGGTATTGCGGAAATACTAAATGGCTTAATTGACTAGGGCTGAAATAAGCTGGAATGACCAGAGAAGTGGGAAAATCCTGTTTTCCTGTTTTGGAGTGATCGACACGTTGCCAGGGACAGTGGTGCCTCAGGCCAACATTCTTGGAAGGGAAAACTTCCTGTCAAAATGGGGGCCAACGTGGGAAACATTCTTCGACGTTTTCAGTATAGAGGGGCCATTCTGTACACTTCAGATCAAACAACATATTTCGAATAAGTCCAAGTGATTGTACTACAACGGTCATCGACGTCATACTCTCAGTCTGTGCGAGAAAAAAAAAAGAGAGAAGCCAAGAAATAGCATCCACCTACCCCGAGGGCTCCTTATCGTGTTTCATTCGACTATTAACCCGTCGAATCCACTTGAATCCACCGCATCTCGAATTTCCTCTCTTTTCTCTTCTTCCCAGCTCCTACAAATCTTCCTGGTGACACTTCAAATACACCAGCCCCCCTGCGCGTCGGCGCGTTACTCTGCAGAAACGCTGCATCCTACGGAACGTTGCATTGAAACGCGAAACACCCGAGCTTATTCCCTCCATGGCCGTGAAATTGTCTCTATTGCTCCTCAATTCCCGTGAAGCCTGAACCTTAACACAACTTTTGGAAGCTCCCGGACGGAGTCGGGGAGCAGGGACGATGTGGTCCAGCTTGGATAAACCTGGCGCTCTCCCACTCCTGATTCTCATTGTGTTCTCGCTGCTCACATTGGTGCCATCACTACCTAATCTGTATCACTCGAAGTTCGCAGACTTCAGCTTCTACACCGGTGCAGCTCGTCGTATGTCCCCATTCCCGCCAAGCTCAAGCTCATTCGAGTTAACTAACCAATTCGACTTTCCAGAGATTCCACTGCTTCAAGATAGTGTCACCGAATTAGCACCGAAAACACATACCCTCAGCGAGCCTCGCAAATCATGGATTCTTTCAGCGTCACATCGATCGCGAGGAAATCGCCAACCGCTTACCGCGCGCGTTGGCAATGCCGCTCCCATCCCGGCCAGCGAAACAACCACCGTCGCAAATAAAAGTCGACTTTCATCCTTCACACGCGAATCCTCATTTTCATTCAGTCGCAAAGCCCGCGCATTCAGAACCTATTTCATCCAGCAATTAGACGACTACCCATTCCTCACGTCATTCTCCAACCGCAGCCTAGTTGCAGACTCGATGCATCCATATCCTACCATCACCATGAACGAATCTCTCCCAACATCCGAAAACGAATCTCCAAGCATCCCGTCATATAATAATTCATCCGATAGCATCCTGGAGCCACTACTGCCCTTTCCTGCCTTCCTTCGCGATATGTGTCAGCAGGCCTGTCATGTCGCCATTGATTTTGGAAAACGCGTCGGACTCCAAGGAGCAAATTATGCGAAATCGATCTCCCTCCCGGAGTGGATCACAGGGGCTCCCACATCATTAATACCCAACCCCACAATTCCCAACGCCTCCTCGGAGCAAGATTCATTCCCCCCAGCCGAGCAAGCACCGCCCCAACAAAAGGTTGGCGCTGAGGATTCCACCGATGCTGCTGCTGGTCGGCACTCCCAAGAACTTCATGGAAGCTGTATGGCTGTTGTGATCGGTCTTGTTGCAGGCATCATGTGGTTCTAGAGCATACTGTCTTGGGTACTGCTACTACTTCATGTGCGTCCGCTGATATGTGTGATGACCTTTTGTCTTATTTGGTTTTGGCGCATTGTATTAGATACTTGTAGACAATTGGGCCGGTGGCTCTGGTTTAGCCTCCTGTTGGAATCTAATAATCACATTTACCATTTCTCGTCTTGGCTCAAAATCCATACCTCAAGTCTTCGCCTAAAAGAACTTAGGCCCCTTTTTGTTACAAACTCTTCCACTAGAAGACGCTAGTCACGACGCCTATATCTATCTAAGAAATGAGGGAGCTATCGGTAATTACCCACAAAAGGCAACGAACGGAGGGAGTCGACTACAGCACTTTCACCCTTCCACTCCACCAAATGTACGGCTGTTCCTCTTGAGTGTTTTCCAAATGAGACGGTACTCTCTGTTTGAGGGAGAACGTGACTGAACAGAGTGATTCATTTCCAGTTGTATAATGAAGAAAGGAATCCCACCTGTGCGACCCAGGCGGCTTTGTGCGCACGCTTGGCCCTGTATATCCTCTCAATTTGGGTATAATTTGGTTCAATTAAATTCAAGAAGCAACCTATCGTCTACATAGGAATTACCATCATCTATGGCGAAGTGCAATTCTATCATATATCATACTTGGACGTATTCTGATATTACATCTAATCTCGGCTATAGGGCATAACTTGTAGGAACTAACGGAGTTTTCATCTTACCTCCTTGATAGTTTCAAATGCCATATTTCTACTATATTCCATTATCTTCTACTTACTCATCCAAGAATTTGGAAGAACACCCTGATGGACTTGATCCTTGATGACAGTGAGCTAACCCGATACGGGCTCTAGTGGAGATTTTTGTGGACGCTGGTTGGTCCTTCCGAACTATACCAACAATACACTTGAAGGACACTTAATCCCATTATCACCGAGAGAAAACATATAAAGCGGACCATTTCATCTGGCTGAAATGGAGGACATATCAATCAAGGCTTCTTTGTTTTCTTCATTGCTCTAAATCTTACACCTCCACCCAATATGTCCAACAATCAACAAGTTCTCCGCTCCGAGGTCGTCCTCGAGAAGTATGGCAAGGCCCTTGCTGGGAAGACAGGTAAGTCTAGATTCCCATCATCTTTTAAGGATAAGAATGCTGATGAAACATCTTCCTTTCGTAGTGCTCATCACCGGCGTTTCCGACGACTCCATTGCAGGCGAACTCGCACTTCAACTTTCCGCCGCCGATCCAAAGCTACTCATCCTGAGTGCCCGTGCCGAATCAAAAGTGGCAGGAATTAGAGAAAAGATCAAGTCCACCAAGCCAAATGTGGAAACTCGCTTTCTCAACTTGGACCTGAGTGACTTGAGCGCCGTGCGAAATGCTGCCGGAGAGCTGAAAGATGTGTCTCACATCGACCACCTTGTCTGCGTCGCCGGTGTAATGTTCCCGCCTTACAGCAAGACAAAAGATGGATTTGAGAGTCAACTAGGAGTCAATTACCTGGCAAACTTCCTGCTTGTGAAATTGCTTCTACCGAAGATCCGTGCCGCAGGGCCCGATTCGTCTGTGATTATCATGGCCTCGTCCATGGTCAAACAAGGGAAGATCCACTTCGATGACGTTAATTTCAGTGTGAGTTTAATTCACTGGTTATGTTTAGCAGTACTGACATTCTACTTCCTTGTAGGATGGCCAGACATACGACCCTATGGTCGCATATGGCCAGTCGAACGCTGCGAGGGTTATGTTTGTCAAGAGACTGGGTGAGAAGTTGAAGAGCGAGAAAATCCGTGTTTTCAGTATTGATCCTGGTGGTATGCCTTGGTTCTTCTGCCGATTCAATGGGTATAGCTGACGAATATATAGCTGTTCAAACTGGTCTGCAACGACACTGCCCTCCGGAATTTTTGGATCAGGTCGCCGAATGGAAAGAGGCCGGAGGTATGTTCGGCTCTTTTGCTAAATGCTTTGATTCTCACTAACGACATGTTTAGCCATGGTTGACATGGATGGAAAGCCAATCGAAATTCCCCCATGGACTACTACCTCAGAAGGAGCCGCTACAGTCATCACAGGAATGATTGACCCTACCATCGCAGGTAAGTAGAACGCCTTGCCAAGCCTGCATCTCGAGTTTCTTTTACTAATCATGTCCATATTCAGAGTACAACGGCTCATACCTCAGCCAGAACGCAGTCTCAGACCACGAATTGCACACCCATATCAACGACGAAGGCAACTGGACCAAACTCTGGGATCTAAGCGAGAACCTGACCCAAGAGAAGTTTTCTCTATAGGTTATTTGGAGTTGAGAAGAGTTTGATCTGTTTATTATATATAGGTTGAAATATCACTCAATCTCGAGCACGATAGGCTTTTCCCCTCGCTGTCTCCTCCAGTAATTAGAAGATTTGACTATGTCAGGACAATCTGTTGCCATCCATTTCCATTTCCTGATGATTGTCTCCGAGAGCTCATAAGCAAATGGATCCCAAGCTTCGCCCCAAACGCGAATCCCGACTTCTACTTCTTGTGACGGTCCACAAGTTCCATAAAAGTCGCAGCATAGTTCATCTTCGTCAATTACATTTGTCCTCATCAGGAGAGCCTCCCGGAGAGATAACACAGGAATTAAATCAATCCAGGGATGGTGGATAATCTTCCTCTGTTTCTGAGATGGAAACAGGCTTGCTGGGAGATGTACCGCCGACATCAACGGTCCGACGAGGTTGAACTGTGACGCAAGGTCTTCATTGAGAAGATCAAATGTGAGGCCCAGGAGATTGGCATTGATTAACAGAGCGCGAAATATATTGAACTGGGCGTCGTAAAAAGTGGGATTGCGTGGGAGAACGGGGTTCTCAATCATATGCATGGCTTTTCCATAAAGTTCATTCATAAGCTTATCGTGCCGAGAAGAGTTGGGGTAAGATAGATTTTGTTTATTTTGATTGAGAGGCGACGATGGTTGGGTAACTTGATGGCTTGTTGCTCCATCAGTAGATGTGCTTCTTTTTCGGATGTTTGAATCATCGACATAGACAATCCATTTCCTATCTGGCGTTTTCTGTTTGCCTTTAGACTCTAACGCCTTTCTTTTTCCTATATATAATGTTAGAATGAATATTTGATACTTGAAAGGCCGGATGTGGCGAATAAGAGTGCCACCTACTGCTCGCACGTTGATTGAGGCGATTTTGGAGTCGTCTTCGAGCCGCGGGATCCAACATGTCTCCCGAATTACTTGAAGCTGTTTGCTCGAGAGCTGGCGGGTGATCAACTTGGGCAGTCATCTTTAAAAAGCTGTAGTTGAGGAAACGAGGTGGTAAGAAGTGAGAAGGTTTAGACGGGAGGTGGTCGAATGCCAAGATCGGAGTTAGCGTTAGCTCCGAATAAACGCGGACAGCGAGACATTCTACAACATATCAACTATTTTAGAACTAATCTACCCATCTTGGCTTTTCGATCGAGTGTAACCACACATATAGACAATTTTTAACTATCTTACTAACCGCTGAGCAACTCGGAAACGCGTCCGATGACCTCTTCACCCCTTCATATTCATGACGTAGCTCAGTGGCCAAACACCAAAACAGTAATATCTCCAATGTCTTCGAGATAGCGAACGTCTATGGAAATTATTCTCTCATATTATATGGAATCCTCGGCCTTTTTCTCATCTATTGCGGGATAGAATATGACACTTGCCTCCAAACTCCGCCAGGTACTTACCTGTGGCCGTAAGAAAGATTCAGGTCCCCCACCAATAAGTGAGCCACGCACAGAGACTGGGGATGACAATATAGAGGATGAATCTTATGGGACCTTGAGTGAGGTCGCTGCTCCGGCTCCGGTTGAGCCTACAACTGAAGAAGAAGAAGCGCGGCACGAATCCCTAGATAAGAACCTCTCTGGGGCACATTCTCACCCTCAACTCGGCAATAATTGAATGGTTTGATCATAGGTACCTAGTCCCAGTACCCTTCCTATTTCTTGTTTACGGTATCGGCCATATTACTAACATCCTGAAGAACGACTTCACGAAATGCACCAGCAAGCAACCTTTGGGGAAATGAGTAACAGTCTTCCCGGACACCAATAGCTCCAAAGATACCCTGTTTGTTCTTAAATACTGCATACACACAATACTACCCCCCTTTGATCAGGCATCCCGAAGAATTTTGGATTGAGGCTCTGTGCAGGGTTAACCCTGTCTATGCATGGCGGGCCCCACTAGTTTAATTATGAGCTTAACTATACTCTTGAGTACCACTATTCGGGTCGTAGACGGATTTGCATTTATATGCAGAATAATAAATCTAATGCATATCAGGGATCAGGCATTTCCTGCCAACCGTTGGACCATGGTTCCATAGCTGGTATAGTATATTACATCTGGCGAGACGGGGCGTGTGGCTTACCTGATTGGGCAATGTGCTCGAGCATTTCATAACACTCGAGTGGGCTCTCTTGTTAACGCAGCTGGTTTGAGATCCTTCGGTAAAATCGAAAGATGACCGCAAATATCGTATCATACGATTGATTATTTCGACTAAATATTTCTATTTTGTCCAGACAGAGGCATCGTACCCATCCATCAAGGACGTATAGTCTGGACCAGCCGCAGCCCATCCTTTAATACCCCCCGAGAGAACCAAGCTCTTGACCTCTGTATCCTGTTGATCTTCGAGGTAATCCGCAAACCATCCTGATGCACGAGTACCTCGGCCGGCAGATGACCCTGAATATAGATCAGTATTGGCGTTTCAAAAAATATGCTATTATATTCATTGTGTAAGGCTTACCGCAATACCAAATCACATATTTCACACTGCTGTTCGATACCAGAGAATATAATGTTGGGATCGTAGGGTATAAACTCTGGGCTGGCAAGTTCAATGATCCTCGGATCGTTCCTCCCTTTTGACACATCAGCGCATGAAAATATCACTATGTGTTCCGAACTGCCCATACCTCATAGTCTGTGCGACGCAAATCAACAAGTAGAAAGTCTTTGCCTGCTTGTTTACCCTCTCGAATCCATTGCAATAGCTCTTCTCGCGATATGGATGGTGCTGCACCCCTTGGTGCGGGATATGCAGCATGCCATGGAATCTCGGCTGACATAGTGGTTAAGACAAATTCTGAAGTTAAGAATTGCGATATTCGACACTTCTCGGACTGTTATGCAGGTAGAATACCCCGAATACCCCGCCTGGGAGGAATGTCACTCCTGCTTTCTGATTGGTTAAGGTTCTTCGGGTGACGAACGGGAAGTGGACCCTTCGAATTCCATAGTCTGATCCTTCAGCCAATCAGCGCCTGCCAGTGACATATCATCACCATTTATTTCCAAAGATCTCAGGACGAATATAAAACATGCTCTGCTGTCTGGTACGTTCATTGAATTCCAACAATCGTCTACTCAATCAGTCACTAATCGAGCAATTTCGATTAGTCACTATGGCATCAATACGCCCACCAGCATGTTCACATGTCTCCAGTCCTCCCAATGACCAAATAAAAGCATGCGACATCGAAAAGCAGAATGAAGCCTCTTCTCCAGATGAGCCATCGAAGAAACAATCTATGTTCTCAAGTCTCGGTCTTCTCGACCGATTCTTGGCAGTATGGATTTTTCTTGCTATGGCAATTGGAATCATCCTGGGCAACTTTGTCCCAAACACAGGCCCTGCCCTGCAAAGAGGAAAATTCGTAGGAGTCTCCGTTCCAATCGGTACGTGCAAACAACTCCCAACGTTTGTTGTTTTTACTCACTGAATATTCTAGCTGTGGGACTTCTTGTCATGATGTACCCTATCCTATGCAAGATTCGGTTTGAATCCCTGCATCATGTTTTCCGAGCGAAGGAGATTTGGATCCAGATGGCCTTCAGTATTCTTCTGAATTGGATTATCGCCCCTTTCCTCATGGTTCGTAACTCTAACATTTACATGACACGAAGTTTATCACTGACTTGGTTTTATTAGCTGGCATTGGCTTGGGCGTTTTTGCCCGACGAGCCAGAATTGCGACAGGGACTGATCATTGTTGGATTGGCACGGTGCATTGCTATGGTAGGTCTAAACCACTCAGCAACTCACCCTTGGAAACGAGACTATTCTAACTCTTATCTTCTATCAGGTCCTAGTTTGGACAGGGCTAGCTGGAGGCGATAACGAATACTGTGCCATCCTCGTCGCTCTCAACTCGGTCCTGCAGATGGTTCTTTTCGCTCCAATGGGTGTTTTCTTCATCAGCGTCATCAGTGGCGATTCAGTCACTTTTGAATATTCAACAGCTGCCCAGAGTGTTGCGGTATTTCTCGGAATACCTCTCGGGGCTGCAATCCTCACCCGTTTCGTGCTCCGACGAATTTCTGCGAAATGGTACGATGAAACCTTTTTGAAGTGGCTTAGCCCATGGTCTCTCATCGGCCTTCTGTTTACAATCCTTGTGCTATTCGCCTCGCAAGGCCGCCATGTGGTCCACCAAATCGTCTCTGTGGTCCGAGTCGCAGCACCGCTCATCGTTTACTTTCTGATCATCTTCTTTGCGACCCTCCTTGTCGCATACAAATTAGGTTTCGGCTATAAGCTGGCCACTGTGCAGAGCTTTACAGCTGCAAGCAACAATTTTGAATTGGCCATTGCTGTTGCGGTGGCGATGTTTGGCGCGGATAGCAACCAGGCTCTTGCTGCAACTGTGGGGCCTCTCATCGAGGTTCCTGTACTGTTGGGTCTGGTATATGCCGTCAAATTGATAGCCAGACGAGTTGGGTGGAATGACTAAGACAAAAATGTAGAATCTTAGCTATAAAATAATTTAGACAGACAGTCCTAGATAGATATCAATTTGAAGTCCCACAAACCGCGGGGTGCCTTTTTTTGTTTAGTCCTGGAATATTGTCCGTGGTGCAACAACAACTTTCCTTCACCGCCCATAGTTAGATATCCATACATCCAATGCCGCACACCCTGTCTCTATTCAGTCCTGTGCCTCTCAAGTCTCCTGCTTAATAGGGCATCGGGGCTTTGTGATGGGCGGATTTACGCACGGTCATGCCGTGTGTTGTTTCATTGCAGACCGACTGTCGCTCCCAGGTAGCATAGTTCTCATCCGAGCTGTTAGGCTTACTAATAATCTTGACTATCCATGGATCCGTACCAAAAACGGGGCCATTAACAAGAAAGGAGATTTCATTCACAAGAAACTATTAAATCGTACATGGTATCAACCATTCCATGTAGACCTTAGGCAGGTAGAGCTCCTTACGTAGGCTCGTTATCGAAGTCAACAGGAATGCTCTCCAACCACCCAAAAGTCAGTCTTCGGCCCCCCAAGACTGGATGCGAGAAGCTTAATATTCCGATCCCCGAGAAAGTAGGAGCCGTGAAGGACACCGAGGTATTTAGCTAGACGTAGAGATGCGTAGACATAGAATGTAGTCTGCCCGGTTTGTGCGATATATCGAGAGGTTTGAGCGTAGATACGACAATGTTCATGATATAACGAGTAGTATGGGGATTTCTTGGCCCTCTGTGGCGTGGACTGGCGATAGATAGTGATGAGTAGCTTGGTACACTTCCTTATTGGTTGTGCACCTTGACATGTGTACCTAATCAGTGACATGCCACTTTCAGTTCATTGGACGACACCAACTTCCCCCTTACTTTCTCCACTTGCTTTTCACGTAATATCACGTTCCTACCTTAGAAGGTTGAATATCTTCAACTTCATCTCTTTCCCCAACATAGGTGTTAACTGTTACAGATTCTTGAGCCCAACTTTAACTATGCCTCGCCCAAAAACTAAGACCAAGGTCGGTTACCTCTGGCTCGTCCCATATTATTATTCTTTTGATTTCGTCCTACTCATGTTCAACCCATGTAGAGCGAAAATCTCGCCCGCATTCGCAATAATCAACGGCGCTCAAGGGCAAGGCGACTAGACTATATTCGGGATTTAGAGGAAAAAGCAAAGAAATACGACGAGCTAATTGCATCAACTCCTTCCCCATCGCTATCGAAATTTGATAAATTACAGTCCGAAAATGCCTGGATGAGAGGGTTACTGGCTACCCTAGGCTTCAATTTCAACTCTGTGGACCCACCTCCCGAGAGCATCCACGACAGCGAACCCAACATGATGTCAGCGGTAGGGTCACCAGATAAAGCAATCATTATCTTAAGTTTCTAATTATTTCAAGATCACGGGCTCGGTTGCTACTAGCGTGGAGACTCGCCAATCTATGGAAAATCCAACTTCCTTGTCATTCTGGGAGCAATGGGACTCGTCAGGTCTATCGCCTGACATGGGACTGGATTTCAATACTCCGTTACTATTGAACAATTTGGATACTCTCTCGGCAGAATCAACAGAACCGAATATTGAGCCCAGCAGCTACCAGGGGACCCAGGAGGCCACTGAAACAAGTCCTTCGAGCAACATGAATACAACTCTGTGCTCTTTAGCATGTCAATGGGTGATCCAATGCAATACAAAAGGCGTGGAATTGGATGTCCTGTACTTTCGGATGGAGCGTGGTTTCAGAAAAGGGAACAATCCGCTGGAGGGATGCAGGGTGGATAATCAAGTCCTTATTAAGGTTTTGACGGAAATATCTTGAGATAGATCGGTTCAATTTCAATTAATATGCGGTATTTCTCTTACTGCTTGACCGCATAAATTTGGAACGAGCCTGTATGAAAGTCAGACTTGGTTTAAGAATTAAAAACCTTGACTCACCGGCCCATTCATTAAAGTCACACTCCAGCAAGTCTCCTTCAGTGCCATTCTTCCCTCGTCCTCCCCCACAGCAACCAGATGGCTCCGACCGGTCGTTCGTGTCTCCAAGATCCATCTGACCCTGAACCAAATCTTTGTAAATATTGATGTCACTGTGGGTATCAACAATCACGATATCTAAGGGGAAATGGACGGTTAGTAAAACACACAAGCCACAAGCACACCTGGGTAAGCACCTTTGAATCCTGCCTCGGAGAGGTACTTCTCATACTCATGAACCTGGCTAGCCCCTGCAATGCATCCAACATAGAAAGACAGGCTGTTGACCACTTCTTGCGGAAGTTCCTTTCGGGTCAGGATATCACTGATAGCAAGGCGACCTCCAGGCCCCAGTAAGCGGAACATCTCGTTGAACGCAAGATGCTTGTCAACTGTAGGAACAAGGTTTACCACGCAGTTGCTGATGATGCAGTCGGCGGTAGCATCTGGCAGGGGGATAGAGGTGATCGAGGCTTCGATGAAGGATGCGTTGGAGGCACCCGCTTTCTCCGCATTTTTGCGAGCGAGCTCAAGCATGCTCTATATCATTTGCGTTAGTGGGGGTATCTCAAGTCGTTGATAGAAGGGGGATTCTCACCTTCGTCATGTCCACACCAATGGCTTTCCCTTTAGGGCCGACTTTCTTGGCTGCCAGCAGAACATCGATGCCACCGCCACTCCCCAGATCAATCACCGTTTCGCCCTAGAATAAATTGTTAGGCAGCTGTAAGATAAGATAGGTGGTCGTCAACACACCTCTCGCAAGTTGGCCAGGGCTAGGGGATTCCCACAGCTCACCCCAAGGTTTGCAGCCTGGGGTATTGAGCTCAGGTCTCCGGAGTCGTAGCCAAATGCTTGGGCAATATTTTTCTCGGCTTCCTTCTCCTCGTTGGTGGAATCTCGATCAGCCAATTCACCATAACGATTTTGGACACGATGATATATTGGGGCTGGGTCCATATTGTGACTCTGGTAGGTGAAATGATCGTTGGAAAAGAAGTGGCTGCAAAATGTAAATGGGTGCAGGTTTTATGTTTAAATATCCCGCGCAGATGTAGCAGCATGTCACCACCTTCGGATGAACGCTCCAATCATTACGCCCTAACAATCAAAATAATAAGATGACTTGGCCCTATGCCGTCATAGTGTGAGATCTTGGGGCATGTAATTGGCTCTCACTGTTTTTGGCATGTCACTGCATTAGGAACGAGAGGGCATGAAAGGTCTAGTGCTTAGATAATCTCGAGATCTCACTCTTGAATTAAAATCAATATACAAGAAAAAAGAGAGGCGCAGACCCGCTGTTTACCCCCAGCCCCTTGGGACCGCCACCCCCTTCAGGTACTCGGTGCCGGTCAATTACCCTGTGGGTGTGGAAGAGAACGCCTCTATAACGCCAGTTTGGCAAAGGAAACCATCAAGGGTAACCCCTCCCGCGCCAGTAGCTATATCATGCGTACCCCCCATCGCACTGAGCTAACCGGGGCGGATCTGCTGGGAGGGACATGTTTTCTTTCCTTATAACTAACCTATTTCCTAATTAGGAAGTGCAATTAACTAGGCAGCCAGAGTTCAATTACCCGGTATTAATTTCATTTCGATACTTTATTGCCGCAAATATTCCCTACGAAAGTTGCTGTGTCGTCGTTTTTCGAGTCGAGAAGGTTGACATTTCTTCCAATCCAGTTTCCCTTCTATCATCGGAGTCTCCTTGCAGTCATTCTCCTACTTCCACCAACAACACTCGAGTTCCTTCTTGGGCTCAAAAACCTTCGTTCTCCAAGAAGAGATCTGCTCCACACGCACGTGGTTAGACTCTTTTGTCTCTGATATACCATTGACAATATTCCAAGACTAAGCCAAAAAAAAAAAAAAGAATAAAAACTAAATTATCCATAGATACACTACATATATCCATGGATACATCAGGAGGATATCTATATCAAGTAATACCATTGATAAGAAAGAAGATTTCATTCAGAGAAGCTATTACATCATACATTTTCTTGAATTCATTGCGGTCCAGGACTAGCACCACCGTTCGAGATGAAGAAAACACCTTTACTTCTCCACGACATCCAGGTCAACGGGAATACTCTCGATCCACCCGAAAGTCAGTCGACGGCCAGAAGCGGTGGAATCTTCCGAACAAGCATCTTCCGGGAAACGTGGAAAGGGCACATCCAGCCCGAGTCGGTCATACAGTTGGTGCCATATGATACGCACAAGCTGTACGTCATTGTCAGCAATCACGGGAAATGAATCTCCGCCGGACACCATGAGTACGTCGTTAAGCTGGTCCAGCATGGACCGAGCTCGTCCAATTCGCCGTCCCAACTTTGGCACCATTGCACAGCATTCCTCATACATGCGAAGAAGGCCCTGAGCTCGACAGAACTGTGTCCTTATTGTTGTAGCCGACCTAGCGGTGCCACCAGTTTCAACTCGCTGTATCCAACCGATTGGGAAGCTGTGCGAGGCAATCAGGATGAGAGCAGCGGCATAGAGATGGTCAAGCTGCTCAAACTTCGAATCTTCATCATCCTCCTGGTTGAAGGATGTCCATAAAGTCTTAACAATGCCCTGGGCGGCAGCGATGCATTTTATGGCACCATCCTGAACCAGGCTAAGAAACGGATCCGAATTCACAGAATCCACGTTCTTGCCAGCTATATGAGGAGTCATTTCACAAGTGCACGAGTAGGAAAGTCGTAGGCACAAGACAAAGAAAGGGCGGTACTGGCGCAGCCGGAAGTAATTGTATCGCATATGAGTAACAAGGGACATGCGACGAATAACCAAGTCTTCCTCCAATGTCAAATCGATGCTATACCCCTTCCATTTCAGAAATTCGGGTAGGCCATGGTTCCAGCTGAACAGATTTCGATTGAGATCCTGGAAACCACTTAGGTCCACGACAGAAAGCCATTTAATGGGGCATTCCATACGAGTCACACGTAGGTTGTTTTCGACAGTGATGAGCTGATCTGTGTGTTTGTAGAGTGAGGCGGAAGCAACGAAGAAAGAATATGCCGCGAGGCGTCGGTTGCTCTGGTCACCTCCCATGTTGTTCTCAATCAGCGACTGCAGCGGCATTGGCAGATCATAGAAGGTATCGAGGTATTGATCAACAATTCCAAGCTGGAGGGTGAGAGAAAGTTTCTGCATCCACAGAAACTGCCATACTAGGCGCACCTGCTGCAAGGATTGCTTGTCGACGGCGAGGCGCCCACCGTGCATGGTTTGGATCCGAAGTGGCTGTGCTCTGGCAATAGAAAGGGACAGGGTTTCCCAGGCCAGTCTCAGATGTCCGACCATATGAAGATACTGGGTTCGGAGTATCTGTTGGTGGAAATATTGAAGCGACGACTGAGAGCCCAGAGTCACAGGAATGCGAGATGTAGCAGCATCGTACCATTTCCGGGGCTCTGAGGGGTCCTCATCGCCAATGAGGACACATGCAATTGCGAGGCAGAGGCCGAGGGTCGGATCAATACTCTTAGGTTCAAGGTTGCCGTGGTTCAATGCCAGGGCGAAAGTGACTTTGAGTTTGTCTAGATCAAGGATTGGAATAAAATGAGCCTGCTTGGCAAGGAAGATATTCCAAAGTTTCTTTGGGACTTCGGAGTTAAACGGAGAACGCAAATGAGGTGGTGCAATGATGTTGTCACGGCCCGACGACTGGGTGCCAGAAGGAGCACGCTTAGGAGCCGGAGTGGTCATCTTGTTGGGGTTCGAGGACTGGGTTCTAGAAGCAGCACGTTTGGAAGCCGGGGCAGCCATGTCGTTAAACTGGCCGCCAGAAGCAGGACGTTTCTTGGATGCCGGCTCGATGGAAAGCGACGCAGTGTCGCTAGATTGCGACGACTGCCTGCCAGAAGGAACATGCCTCTTAGGCCGGATGAAAGGATCGGACGACGGCATGGTGGCGTCAGTCAAATGAATGCGTTCCACAGGCGATGTGGGTGAAGATGAAGAACGAGAGGGGAAAAGAGAAGGATGGGTGATTGAAAGAGAGATGGAGGTGACAGAGTTTTCTTTATGGGTTATTGTTGCTCTTGAGGGTGTCTCTGGCGTGTGCGAGGAAGGCACGCGTGGAGACGTAGACTTGGGTGGCACCTTCCTTGTTGAGATCAGAGTTTCTGCTTTGACACCTAGACTACCCGTGCTGACATTGGTAATCCCACCATCTGGGTCTAAAAGCTCCGCAAATTTCCTACGGGTTGAAGGGCTCAGCTTCGAGTTGGCCCCTATCGCTGCAAGAAGCTGGGCGCCGAGGAAGCCGATACGTGGGTCTTCCTTGTCCAAGCCATAGGTATCAGGATTAAATATGATTCTTTTTAGTCGATGGAGGAACAGGTGGTTGTGATCGGATGTTGGAGCCGCCGATGCACTTGACAAGCACTCTTCGACGCATATGATACGCTCTTGCATCTTCTTATCCTCGGGGCTCATCAATGGGCCATATAAGAAGTTCTCAAAGCGGCTGAGAAGAGCACGGGAGCATCGACCACCCTTTTCCAGCTTGATTGTTGCATTTTGCATGAGATCATCTTCTTCACGCCACTCGTTATTCAATGGTGTGGCACTCGATCCAGCAATCGTGGGTTCAGTGGTTGGGCGTTCAGTCTTAGCTTTCATGAGTAGCTTGACGATGTTGCGCAAAGGGCCTGCTGCAAGATTGCGATGTTTCGTTCTCTGAACGTTGATTTCGGTAGTCAAGTTGCATCGGAGCTCCATCTCATCTTGAGGCAGAGTAGGAGATATGCTACGCAGTGGAGGAGCCGGTCTACTTTCACTGGGCATACCGGTGCTAAATGGTGTGTTTTGGTCCTGTTCCAACGCAGATCGCTTAGCGGCAGCTCCAGAGCCAAGTTCAGATATCTTTTGCCGTTTCGCAGGAGGCTGCTGGGGTATCTGCGTCTGCTGAGCATGGCTGAAATCATGTGGGATGGTTGATCCAACCACATCATTGACAAGCTCGGTCCGTTCAGAAGGACTGTTTGTAGCTCTTGGTCTTTTGTCGCCCGTTGTGGGTAAAACAGAGTCATTATTGAACACTGGCACTGAAAATGGAGCACCAGTCTTCTTGGTGATTCCGTCCTCGGCACTTTTGTTCTCGGTACTAGATGATATAAAATCAGTCATTTTGACTCGACCAAACTGATATCACGGATATACATACACTGGTAAGGCCACGGAAGGATATATGCATTCTGCTTCAAAGCCCAAGCTCTGACAGGACTGGCAGGCTATGTAAATAGTCAGTCGTCAATGCACTTGCAATCCTCATTGCCCTATCAAGTCATGGGGTACTTACATGGTCTAGTGCGATCACAGCGCTTGTGCTTTGTCTTGCATTTCATACAAGGAAATCCCGGCGGGTGGGTTGACTGTGCCGAATAAGTCGTTGATAATGGAGCCGATGGTGGCCGCAAAATGTCAGCGCCATTCGCCATTGGCGTTTGATCAGCCATTGCCAGGTTCAGTTCACTTAATTCATTTAGTGAAGAACTAGATCTATGAGGGTGGCAGTATCAGAGTACGTTGCTCAGACTCAGGAGGATAGAGTTCGCCTCGCTGAGTTGACTTGATAGAGACTGTACAGTTCCCCATAAAGCCAGCAACAAAGAGCTTTTCCTTTTGGAAAATCACTCGCCAATTTCAAAGACTGGACTTTTTGAAATGATCAAGTGGAACTGAAGAGAATGGAGATGTTGGTTGTTGGTTGTTCACGAAGTAAATACAGTTCACGGTGAAGTGAGAACAACCATTTGCACCTGCGATGAGAAAGATTTTGAGCCAGCACCACAGATTGGATTTGAGGACTACTTTCTGAGGAATTAAATAATATGTTGATCTGAAATGATTCACTGGGGAATAATTGATGAACACACGTCGAGGCGCGTGGCAGAAGCGTGATGGTCACAATGACAGATGGTTGTGAGGCTTGGATCACCACGAGAAATTCAAGGCCGAAACAAGAGTTCAAGGTCCAGTCCAACTGCGCCTCATCAAATCAAATCCCCTGAATGATAGACCTCATCTTCTTGCGTAGTGGCGATGATACCTGAACCGGGCTGCCATTCGAGTAAGAGTTAGGGGTGGTTGTTATCTTACCGCCTAACCATTTCCACTACTATACTCCCAATGCCAATAATAGCCCTATGATATCCATCTGGGAGTACAAAAGGAACTAAAAAACGTGCGCACGACAATTTTATTTTTCTAGTCATCAGTTCAGTTTACCCAGATACTTTAAGACAAGAGAGAGTGACTGAGCTGTGGCTAATACCACAAGTATTAGGGTATTTGTACGAAATAGCCGGGTTAGGTCAATTTGGGTAGCAAAACTGATTGGAATTAGAGATCAAGTACATATTCAACACATTAAGACGCCCTTGACGAAGAAAGACTACATATATACATATATTGTACAATTATGAGGTACCTGTGCACAGCATGAGTGGATCTACCATCATCCACCTGACAATCAAAGATGGACCAAATACGTGAAGTATACCCCCTTGTAGAATGTGCAGGGGGCAGCTAATTCATGCGAGCAGGGCTGGGGAAGAAAGTATGCAAAGATAATGCAAGAAGCGCCATATGCATTATTGTGTCGGTATTACGATGTCGATCCCTCGATATAGGAGAATCCCCCCGGTGGGTAATGGTTCCCGCCAGCAGACCACGAGAATCGGTACAGTTGAACATTCAATGCTCGTCCAAAATAAAATGATCAGGACTGTGCTTTTTCCGCTTCGTCCACCGATCGCTCGACTTCTTGCTCTGTCCATCGATGGAACAATTTGCGCGCGTCGGAGAGATTGGCCTCCTTAGGCACCCCGTTGTGGACTGACTGGACATGGAGGACTGGAACATCAAACTCGTAAACATCCTTCCAGGATTTGTTTCCGGGTTCCATGATGTCCGCTTCGACATATTCAAAGGAGCGGCGTTTCTGGAGCTGAAGCACAGTGTTTTTGGCGGTATCGCACAGGCCACAGCCTGCGCGTGTAAACAGCGTCAAGCGGGCTGGACTGAGAAGGACACGCGTAGGAAACATGGAGAAACAATATAGATTATGCAAGAAATGAATTCAACCACGGGATTTCAAGATGGCCGGTGCCGTGACGCGAATGCGGTCAGGGAGTTCTCCGCGATGGAACATTCGAGCTCCCCCGCTAAACCCTGTTAGGCAACCTGCGCCATTCTCTCCAGAATACTTTACAATCTTCTCTTTCGACTCAGTCCCATCAACTATCTTATAATATCTGTCTTGCTATACATAATGGCAGGCAAGTGCGTCCACAAAGCGTGTGGAAAGACCTTCACCGACCCAGAAGAAGACTGCGTGTATCATCCGGGTCCCCCAGTGTTCCACGAGGGGCAGAAAGGTAAGTACCTTGGTGTTCAAGCTATTCCAGATTCGTGGCCCTTGAGTCCACCAAGGGTTCACGGGGGACCATTGCGGCAGCGCAATGTGACACCTGATCGTGTTTCTAGCTTCTGCTACGTTTCTACCCCGCGGCACTGCTAACTTCTCAGGCTGGAAATGCTGCAAGCCCCGCGTCTTGACCTTTGAGGAATTCCTCGCCATCCCACCATGCACAACTGGGAAGCATTCCACCGTCGATGACACACCCGTCCCCGAGCCCAAGGCTGAGGAAGTCATTGCTCCTCCTACACCGACCGAGCAGAAGAAGTCCGAGCGGCTACCCATCTCCGCTACCCCGACTATCGCAACTTCAGCGCCGCCTGAGAAGCCAGTCATCGAGGAGCCTGAGTCTGATGACCCTGATGTGGAGATTCCGGCTAACGCAACGTGCCGTCGGAGGGGTTGTGGCGCAACCTATACCGGGTCTACTGCTCGCGATGAGGAGAAGTGCGTTCACCACCCGGGCCAACCGGTCTTCCACGAGGGCAGCAAGGGGTGGTCCTGCTGCAAACGCCGGGTGCTCGAGTTCGATGAGTTCCTGAAGATCCCCGGCTGTACAGAGAAGACGAGACACTTGTTTGTTGGCAAGGCCAAGCCCGCGGGCGAAGAGAAGGTGGACACAGTTAGGTGCGTACAAGACAACACAGGCGGACTAGCTCTGCTATTTTGTTTGGGAAATGGCAAACTGATATACTTTGGCATTCTACAGAAACGATTTCTACCAGACTCCCACCGCCGTCAACGTCTCCCTCTACCTTAAGAAGATTGACAAGCAACGGGCCAAGGTTGAATTTGCTGCCAACTCGATTATCTTCGACCTTCCTACCACAGACAACAAGCGCTATCAGGATACATATCCTCTCTTTGCATCAATTGACGCGGAGAAGTCAACTTTCCGCGTGCTAGGCACCAAGCTAGATTTGAGCTTGATCAAGGCTGATGGCACTAGCTGGCCGGTGTTGCGCAGTGATGACAAGTGGACTGGACAGCGCATCCAGGTTGGCAATGCTGGACATGCTTGATTGGGGACATGTATAAAAAAAAAAGTCTACACGATAGAAAATTCCAACGGTTATGACGGTGATGATAAATTGAGATCTCAGCTCCAGCAGTATATGTAGCTGTTCAACCGCGGCACATACATGGCTTGAGGTGCTATAAGCATCAACGAGATATATCTTGGCAAGAGTAACCTGAACATTACAGGTTCGATCTTATAAAGATATGGCATCGCAAGAGCTTATAAACCTAGCAAGGCTTATAAGGCGCTTTTAAGATGACTTGCAAAAAGTACGTCGTACATTTACACCATATGCCAATTACCAGTTGAAGATCGTAAGATATCCAATGCTACGCTCCTGCAACCTCTGATCAAATTTGAAAGATCAGAGCAAGCAGAGACAAACTCATATCACATGAAAGTGACTGAAAAAATGGTATGTGACGCCCTCTCCACAGCTAGCACCCATGGGGCTTCCCGAAGGATACCCTAGCAAAGCCATAAAGTGATTGGGAAAAAGAGAGACGCCTTTACTCTCCAGGGCCGGGAACGGAAGAAAACCCATCATGGCCGAAACCATAGGATAACCCTCAGCAAGCCACATTGTGGAGCCCCGTTGAAATTTACATTAAGTTATGTAAACCTCTACTGATGATGGAGAGAAAAGAAAAAAGAGTAAAGGCGCGGGCGAGGAGATCCTATTTATGCGTCTGGAATTCGATATACGCTAGTGCTGATTGGGTTTCGGTGTAAGTATTTTTCCATTTGGTTGACTAATATTGGATTTTATGACTAATTTCACTTTTTTTGTTGAGTGATTTTGTCGGATTGGGTAAGTAGGGCTAATCTCAGGGCTATACCAGTACATGTGACCCTAGACCCGCTTTAACCTCCTCTTTCATGTGATTGTCCCGTGACTTGCTTGCACCGTACATTACAAAGTTACATAGGTACATTCGAGATTGCTTGAGTACCATTTCCCAACCAAACAGCAATTGAAACAAGCAATACGACATCAAAAAAACGTTCTACAGTTATCCAATAGGTTCATATCTCAAACAACCGAAACTTTATACATCCATGTACCACTAGTAGTAGTGGCGGTGGGAAAGTCCCTTTTTATCTTCTCAAGTACCCTGGGCCCCAGCAAATAATCACATCTTCCAATCACGGGTCGGGAGCACGAGACCTCCCCTCGCTGTCTCAATTAACCTCCCCGCCATCGATAGCGCCTTTGAATTCTTCGCCCCTGAATCTTTTGTACCTTCGCCATAATACAGAATCCGCCTTTCCACATTGCGCTCTATTTCTTTCCAAAATTTTATCTCCATTCGCACATTGCGCTAGCAGCCTAGACGTGTGCAATTGCCTAAATCTTGAATTCAGGACATCGTCACTGTTATAGAGGCGGTGCCTCTCAAGCAGTTGTGGACTAATTTAATAGTACAAGATTATCCCGACACCCAAACCAACTCAACTCGCGCCCATACCCCTTTTTCCACCTCCGCTCCACTCAACTCCAACATGGGCTCGACAGAGACTAAGGCGGCCACGCCAGAATTCCGATACATTCCCCTATCATACAACCATGCCGACTCCCAGTCATCTGCTCTCAGACTAATCCTGACCCTCAACCCCGACTGGGAGGGTCCTGGCAACAACATTGAGTTCGTGCGATTCACCGACGGCATCACCAACACCGTGTGTCTCTCTTTCTTTCCCCAGTGCCGCTTCCCACGAGACCAGCAATAAGGTCATCGGAATCCAGTCGTGACTAACAGATTCCTAGCTCCTGAAAATTATCAACTTGAGACCCGGCCTGACGGAGGAACAAATAGACAATGAGGCAGTACTGATGAGGGCGTACGGAAATGGCACAGAGATCCTCATAGATCGCGAAAGTACGAGCATAATACCCCCGACGGATAACCTTCGTCAAAACCCCCACTTCTCAACCCACAAAAAAGCCCCTCCGCGCCTCCTTTGCCCATTGCGACATATGCTGAAGTAGATCAATTATTCTTAGGAGAAACCAACTCCCACGCACTTTTGGCCAGCCGCGGCCTAGCCCCGCCCCTCCTCGCTCGATTCAAGAACGGCCTGCTCTACCGCTTCATCCGAGGCAGGCCCTGCAGCCACCAGGATCTAGTCTCCCCGCCCATCTGGCGCGGTGTCGCTCGCCGCCTGGCGCAGTGGCACGCCGGCCTACCTAGTAGCGGAGCCGCATCTGTCGAGGATGTCTCTGTGACCAAGATCGCGGATGTCCAGGACGATGAGATCACCGTAATTCAGCCTCGGCGCGCGGGCCCATCTATGTGGGCTGTGCTGCAGAAGTGGGTGTTGGCTTTGCCAGTCACCACACCCGAGCAGCGCGCTCGTCGGTTGAGTCTGCAAGCAGAGCTGCAGTGGGCTCTGGATCTTCTGGACGATGGGAAGGGAATTGGTGAAGACGGGGTATGTGCCTCTCGGTCCCGGTCCGCTGGAAACGCGCGTCGCGTCGTTGGATATATGGCTAATCGCTGGGTTTATAGCTCGTATTTTCGCACTGCGATCTCCTCTGTGCCAACGTCATTGTCCTCCCCAGCGAGAATGGTGTTACAACCTCTGAAGATGGTATCGCGCCTGTCAACTTCATCGATTATGAATATGCGGTCCCTGCGCCTGCAGCCTTCGATATCTCCAACCACCTTGCTGAGTGGGGTGGCTACGACTGTGATTACAACATGATGCCGACAAAGTCTGTGCGCCGTCAGTTCCTTACTGATTACACGAAGAGCTACTGTGAACAACGCGGTCTTGACGCTTCATCTGAAGCTGAGATTGTCGACCGGCTGTACGAGGATGTTGACCGTTTCCGTGGCATCCCCGGTCTCTACTGGTGAGTTCAGCTAACACAATTGGAAAAACAACGTATTGGGCGTACCATGCTAACACTATCTCCTAGGGGTGTTTGGGCACTAATCCAAGCACAAATCTCGCAGATCGATTTCGACTATGCCAGCTACGCTGAGACCCGTCTTGGCGAGTACTACGCGTGGAAGCGCGAGGTAGACGGAAGCCGCAAACAAGCTGGAGAGGAGATGCCGCTGCGCGAGTCCCGATGGGCGTCAGAGGCGTAAAGCCATTCGCGGTTCTCCTTTTTTTAGTTCCCATTCTCTCCTACGCCTATGAAATGACGTCTATTAATTCCCTCGGCGCCTCATTTTCCCGAATACTTTGTCAGCGCTATCAATTCCTCACCTGGGCATGATCCTGACCAAATCTCACCTACCCCTTCACCTCATTCTTGCAATTGCAAGAACCCTCAAAATGGCACTCCAGAAATTCAACAATATCCTTGGAGTCAGCCTACACCGAAACCGAATCTAACCCATGAAACAAATCAAAGTTGTGGTCTTGGACGACCACAGACGAGGTTGGACTGAGAGGTCCAACATATGAGAAAATAAGAGAAAGATAAAGGAGGAACACTTTCCTCCGATTGCAGTGTATGGTCGGAGCAAAATTCTTTGTATCTGTCGATATAGATGGTGTGTGTCTCTTTGCATTGTGGTGGCCATTTTTCCTGGTCTTGTGTGTTGCCTTTCAACAACGTCATAGCTGGGGTGTTCTAAGGTTAACATAGTTTCATTTTCCCCCCTAATTTTTGAATCAAATTATTCTGAAGGCTTGTTTCTAAGGTTGTTTCTATATCTACATCAGGGGATGCTGGGAGCTTGCCACAACAAGTTCTCACTCAACAGTATCTAAATCAGGTTGGTCCCAACCTGTGGTAGTGTAGGTATTGTGTTGATATTTCTGGTAGACATAATCGTTACATTTTGAATTAGAATTGATTGTGAAAAAAAAAAAAAGAATCTAATAAACAGAAAATTGAAGTTGCAGAGAAATATATATATCCATTGCAATACTTGCATAAAGTAAACCTCCAACATCCATTTAGTAACACCATACTTTTGATATTTAGTTACTCAATGCAAAGATTTACCAACTCATTTCTAAACCCAACGAGATATGCGCCAGCCCCCCTAAATACCTCTGAACCTTTTTATTAATTTCTGTTGTTCGCCACGTATCCAAGATATTACTAGCCTAGGACCAGTTGAATCAACAACGATTTCAAAGAATCCTAACAATTTAGCAGCCGGATCCCTCTTCAAAAGCTCCTCCAAATACCCCTTCAATCGATGAGAGTTCTCAACATCCCATCTAACGCGCTTCATCCACACTGACATATCAACAGACCCATTCTCCTCCCCACATACGATAGACAGCATCCACCCGCTCCAAAGTGGGTCCTAGAACCTGCAGCAACGCGCGCAGCTGCCAAGAATTCCTCACCCAGCTGAGGAACCGCTCCTTCCTTTCCTACAGGCCGGGCGAGCGAGCTGCACCGGTTGTGTCGGAATGGGCAATCGCTTGCGACTGGGACTAGCTATCCCTTCCGTGAACTGCCTCAAGCGATCATCTCGATAAGAATTGCCCTTCTGTAGATTACCGAGGCGCCAAGGGCCTTTCCATATACCTGGAGCTACCTGAACTCTGAAAATGACTAGATAGGACATACAGAAGGCGCTGGCAATGATCTGGTGGATCAAATCCGGGGGATTCGCAACATGACATCGTCTGACTTTGACGGTAGGCTCTGATTCCACTGTGATGGGAATGCCGAAACACGAGGCCAAATATACAGGGAGGATGTGGGGAAGATGCCAAAGAAGCGTTCTTTAAGGTCATTTGGAGTTTGGAAGGCGTTCCGCTGCAAAGGCCGAGATTGTACACGCGCGATGTACCTCGTATGGAGGGTAACCCTAAAACATGAGTTCTAATGGCGCGACTCGCCGTTCGAACCCATCCATACTTTTTGGTCCTCCCAAGAGGCAAGGAAGTAGAAGAAATACGAGGGGAAACCGTGTGAGTTGAATGAGTCAACAAGTGGCAATAAAAGTATCTAAGCACGCGCAAAGCTCTGCTCAGTCTATTTACCCGATTATCTAGTCTATCCCGCTATTCCTCGCCCGACTCACGAAGAAACTGCGTTATTTGTCCAGCCACAGCAATATCCGGCTCAATTTTTACAACGAATCGCGTGCAAGGCCCTACAGATTGTTCGAAGCCGGAATAGAAGTTGATAGCCTCCTGTATCTCCAAGCATTTTCAAGTTGTCCAGGATCCCTCGTGGCATTTTGTGCATTATAGACCATGGTTGGCAGAGACAATCATTGCCATGTTCCTGGGGTGTCTAGCTTCCACCTATCATACAATGAGAATGTCACACTGCGAAGATTGAGATTGCTTTCGAGCCATGTCAATCCAAGATGTATGAGTACCAGGGTCGTTCCACCAGGTCTCAACGAACGAGAGAACACGCGCTCTGTCTAGAGTACGGCTGATACGCATAACATTGCCAAAACATTCCCGAATAACCCCGTGACCGGTAGGATGTCCTCGGAGTTCAGTTCCTGCCATGAAAAGTGGCCAGACAAGGTCCTGGGCGAACATGCCGTCTCGAGTCTCGGAGAGAAATTGTACATAGCGGAGGATTTCATCCCGAGACTTGTGTACATCGTCACCAGCAGTAGCATCATCTGATAAAGCTTGATGGCTGTAAATGAGAGTTGCGTGGTAGTACATCCATACTACTAGCTCAAAGCCATGTTGATCCTCTTCAGAGGAGAAATGAATAGATTTACTGAGACGCATCATGCTGTTTCTAGCCGATTCAATCTGCGATTGGATGTCTTGCATCGGGCCGTACGATGAAGCCTGCTCGATCGTCCCGGAACAAAATCTCAGACGCTCAAGGCGGGTGATTTGGTCAATGACCCGAATGAAGTCGGTGAAGACTGCGTTCTCGGCGCTAGCAGGAGGGGCCTTGATCGCCATGTTGTAGTTATAGAATGTCGTCAGATCAGCCCACACCGAAGCTTCATAGAATTCTAGCATGAGAAACTGCTCTATGCAGGCCAGCTGGTGGTGACGGGACGGTCGGTTTCCTGCCGCCAAGATGATCTCCCTTGCAGCAGAGAGATGGACCCTCCACCCGGCACCTTGTGGTTTCATAAACTCATTATTGCAGAGAAGAATCACAGATGCAAGGGTATAGGCAGATGTTGTGCTCGCTTGCAGCGCCGACGTAGATGTAGAAAGACCGTTCAACTCTTGAGCCAAAAGAGCCAAAGATTTATTTTGATAGTTTTTCGACATCTGCTGGAATGTCCCATGCCCCAGGTCATTTGGAGGGTACTCCGATGCCAGGTCATGGGCGGTGATAGCGAGAATGGAAGAAAGGACTGTTTCAGAGCTCTCGGCCATTGGCAGAATCATGTGACGCCATGCATTTTGTTGCGGAACCCACGCAAGTCGATGGGCGACTCGGTCGTTGAACCAGGAGAGCAACCGTGAAACATGCAGTGGTCGAGCTTGCGATAAGAAAAGTTCCGAAGCCGGGGATGGAAGAGGCCCCCGCGACGAACGTCTTGTGGAATAGTTGTACCGATCCAGAGAATTGATACTGTTACCGGTAGTATAGGTCCCTGTTAATATCTCCGATGAAGGAGGGGAGTCTGATGCCGTGATAGGAGCATCGAGGGAGGGAAATGCTCTGCCCCGCAGACTACCGCGGCTAGCGACGCCCTGGACCCATTTGAGCTGTAGGCCGTAGCCAGGGCACTCCAAATTGCGCTTCCCGCATTTACGGCAGGTAGGAAGGCCCCGATCACATTTGATACGTCGCCTTTGGCACGTTGGACAGTCTGGTAATGTTAGGACCCCGCTCTAGCACGAGGTAAGATCCATACCTTTAATAGCCAACTGTTCCGTAGAACCTGCAGACATTTGTCTGTCCCATTCGAATTTCTACCAGGGAACACAGAGAATGTTATAATAGAGCCAGAGCGTTGATATTGGCGGTTTTTGACTGTGTCATGTGATGCACAAAATGTGAATTTGATGCCTTTTACGAAGTTCAACCGCGCTAAACCTATTCGGGAATTTAGCGCATGCGGATTGTCCGTGGTATACTCCGTATAGTTATGAGGCAGGGGTCTGATCATATGGGGATAGAACTGTACTTGAAGAACGAATGATGATGGACTATAGAAGAAAGTCAAGTGTTATTTGAGGGAATGGCTGCCATGAGACGAAGTAATTGGAGTCTGTTGGATCTATGAGCAACTATGATGGTGCGTGGGAAGCTAATTAGAAGAGGCATCAACTATTTTGTTAAAAAACTGCCAGACAGTAGCCTCTTGAAGAAATATACGCAGAAAAGGATCAGAATACATTAATATTAGGGGATCGAACTCCGACTGCCCAGACATATGTACATATAGGTGCCTTCCTAATCAGGAAACAGGTTGGTTATAAGGAAGGTAAACATCTTCCCATCCGCAGATCCGCCCCGGTTAGCTCAGTCTGATGGGGGGTGCGCATGATATAGCTACTGGCGCGGGAGGGGTTACCCTTGATGGTTTCCTTTGCCAAACTGGCGTTATAGAGGCGTGCTCTTCCACACCCACAGGGTAATTGACCGGCACCGAGTACCTGAAGGGGGTGGCGGTCCCAAGGGGCTGGGGGTAAACAGCGGGTCTGCACCTCTCTTTTTTCATTATTTATTTTTTTCAACATCGAGTAAAGGCTGTCATCATAGTCTACCACGAGGCCCTGCCAACTGAGGGCCAAGAAATCACCATTCATGACGAGTTCGCATCCACCATAGACTCTTTACTCACTATAGTCGATCTTTACACGGTCCTAACATTAATATATACCAAAGGATTGCCCGTCGATACTCGTAGGGGATCTAGTCAACGCATCATGAACATCACCGTGCCTACGCTCGCCAAAAGCGTCTTGATATACCGCACAAACCGAGAAGGCTGCCCACGTATCTCTATATACGACTAGATACCCTAGCCACACTTCACAACTTCCACATCCTCAATGCTCACAGTACCGGCCCTCAGACGTTTAAAGGCTTTTGTTTTTATCAATATAAGACTTTACCAGCCCGCGTCCGCAAGCGTTATTAGGCAGGGACATTCTCTCAGATTCTGCTTAGCCTGATCATTCTTGCTATACCTTCATGCTATATGTATGGTTGATGGCTGATTTCACCACCTTCTCCCCCTTCCACAAAACCACAGCTCTGATCCCATACAACTATTGTTATCCCCATCCCGTTCTCTTTCATTCCTCACTTGCACCCCTCTCACTTCCTCCTCACTGTCCCCTCACTTCCATAGTTAGTTCTCTCTTCATACGAGGCATGTAGACATAGGGGTCTCCTTACACCCATTCGCCAGGGCCTTTCTCACCATTCATTGCTACGACGCACAGATCCGTCACGACGATGACCGAGGAGCTTAGGGAAATTGATATCTTGTTGCGCAACTATAAAGAGTAAAGAGAGTTGCGAGCAAGCATCAAAGCTCAAACATAGAATACAACGTTCGTGTGCCGCGATCGATCACCTCACGTTGCAGCCTGTCTCATGCGAGGGCATAGTCACAGAAAGCGATATCATGTTCGAGCTGGTTGTCTGGCGCCGAGTCTATGATAGACTCGACATTGAGCCTCGTTTTGCAATGTTCTTAGATCATCATCGCTCTGATGGCTCTGTGGTCTCGGGCCGCAGAAAGACCTACGCCTGGCTCGAAAGCCAGCCAATGGACCAAGTCTACTAGGGGTATTTCTGTGCCAATTAGGCTGCGTTAGGGATTTAACGATTTCACCTTCCTGTACAGAGTAATTTAACCTTGTGAAAATTTACCGATAAGACCCCCTTCTAAATGACTCCTTTGATACGAGAATATGTGCGCTTGATCGTGGAAGTCTAAGTTGTAATTGACTGATCAAACCTTTTGGGTAGAAAGATGCCCCACAAAATCCACGGCAAAGCGCTCTGCCGGGTCAGGTAAAATGCGGAGAGAATAAGACCGAAGGAGAGTATAAAAGGAATATATCCGATGAGCACCCGGTTATTATTGCGTGTCTACATTTGAATCTCATCTCCCAATATCAAATACCTCAATTCCACACTCTCCCATATACTATCCAGTCATCCCAACTCCACCGATAGATATCAAACCACACAAAATGGGCAAATCCATCCTCCTAATCAACGGCCCAAACCTGAACCTCCTGGGAACACGCGAGCCACACATCTACGGACACACAACGCTCTCTGATGTAGAATCAAACAGCCGCGAGGTCGCCGCCAGCCATGGTGCTGTGCTCGATTCTTTCCAGTCGAACCACGAAGGCGCGATCGTGGATCGCATCCAGGCGGCGCGTGGCAAGGTCGATGGTATCATCATCAACCCGGGCGCATACACACATACCTCCGTTGCAATCCGCGATGCCTTGCTCGGCGTCGCTATTCCCTTTATTGAACTCCATGTGAGCAATGTTCATGCGCGTGAGCCTTGGAGACACCACTCGTACTTCAGTGATAAGGCTGCGGGCATTATTGTTGGTCTTGGTGTTTATGGGTATAAGGTTGCTGTTGAGCATGTTTGTGTTAATTTCGAGGAGAAGGAGAAGGAGGCTAAGGCTGCACTGTGATTGAGTTGTGAAACCAGCTGATTGTACATACTCTTTATGGAAAGTTTTTATGTATTTATGTGGATAGAGTCCTGCTCTAGAGGCTTATTCTTTTGAAAAATGAATTTCTACACTAGTGATTTCTTATCTGCCATAGAAGGTATCCGGTATTACCAGTTGCCTGGCCTGGAGTAGCTTTGTGTATTGTGCATATTTGCAATGCATTGCCACATAGACAAGAAATTGGGACTCCTTTGAGGGTTCGAATATGCGATAGATTATAGCAGCCAGGGACTAGTTGCATAACTCTTGCTCCCCAGGAGCCGTGTGGGGAGCGGACCGAGAGGCCAATGAGGCCGACCAGCGGCGACAGAGTGTTTCCACGGCATTCATATCATCAGAATGGAATGATGCTACAAGTCATCATCGCTTGGGGGTTCCCGACATGTTAAGCGGCCCCGAATCTCGTCGCATACCAGAGGGAGTGCCATTATTAGGTAGCTGCTGGGTCTGCGCCAGCAAGAAAGGCTCGATCTGACCGGAGAACGAGTAGAGCTCAGGAATGCCCACATCAGAGACAAAACCTAGGTTCTGCATAAACTCCGGTTGATTGTCGGCTCTATAGGGGGTTAAAGTCAGTCATTATGTAAAGAAAAGGGAGACAAATTCTTACTTTTCTGCACCATCTAATGATGCGAGCTCATCAAATAATGCATCGAGATCAGGAGCAATCCGTTGCCTCCGTGGACGCGCATAGCCATCCATGTCAACGAACGTGCCCATATTGACCGATGGGTCATGGAATCCCGTTGGATGGTATTGTGCGGTTTGGTGATATGATGGCGAAAGCTCGGTGAGAATTCCGGTACTGTTATGGGATTCGCTAGCCACTGATGTAGGGTGAGGAAGCCCGCTGCTAAGAGAACCATCCAAGTGGCCCTGCAGTGCAGGAACTTCAGAGGCGCCCCCAACGGAGGTTAGGGATGACGGCGTACGGAGAAGAGATACATCTTCGATGTGTTGTGTGGTTCTAAGCCAAGGTGTGGAGAGGAATGGGTTTTCAGGGACAGCCGCAGAATGTGTAGTATTTTGGGGCCCATGTGTCGCATGTGTGGCATGAAGAAGATGCGAAGTTGTGGCGATCGAAAGCGATGACGGGATTGCCATGTCTCCACCGGTAGAGGCATCGATGTGCTGTGAGAGCGCAGGAGAAGTACCCAGTAGTTGAGATCTTTGTGATACATTTCGACCGGCGGTTTGTGGGTTTGGCATAGTCCACAACATAGAGAGCTTCGAGGAAAAATTGTGGATGTTATTTCGTAAACCCGTATCAAGGACTGACGGGAGGTCCCTAGAAATGGATCGCGGAAGACCAAATCGAAGCATCAGACCAAATGTTGGTGCGGTGGCTGAAAAGCTGTATGTCTCCATATAGGCCTGAAGCAATTGCAAAAGCCTTTTCGAGCTTTCTGTAGCACGGATTTTGTGAGGGGGTTCAGGTATGTTCTGATCATATTCACGAATGGCAATTTGAGAGCTAAGAGCAATGACAACACTTTCATATGTCATCTCTAGCCCAAAAATATGTGGAGAAGCAAGTCTCACAGGGCGACTTTGTAGATCTACACGATAGCTCTTTGGTAATTCTGTTACCCAGCGCTGTAATTGCAACTCCAGTTGCTCCAGCTGCGATCGAGATATTGTTGGGTCGTGCTTGCAACAGCATAGATCATTCAAAATCGAGACGAGGTTGACGAGGCGGTTGAAAGTGCTCAACGCGTGAAGGGGACCACGCTGCATAGACGCCCGTGAGGATTGGGCTGGGCGTAACCCAGTTTGATCTTCCCAAGGATGCCATTCCTCAAGACCATCCTCATTGATGGAGCCTATCCTGGATAAATCTGCCTTTCGCAGAGATGGGCATTGTGAAGTTGATTCCGCAATGAGGGTCTCGAGAACAAAGCAACCCAAAAACACATGTTTTGCTCGACCAGGCTGTTTTTCTTGATCCGGGGTTCTCGATGATGATGATGAATACGAAGGTTGATCGAGATTTAGTATATGCGCTATCCGAACAGCCTGACCAACAAGCATCCAGGAGCCAGTCCATTCTTGCTGTCCGAATTTGACTAGACCCAGGATCAGAAGTGCTTGCACGTGTCCGAGTTCGTGCGGGCCACTCTCAGGCGGAATCAATTGTCGGGCAGTAGCATACATTTGTGATGGGGTCATCTGATCACTAGGCTTATCTTCTACTTCGCTGGAGGCTGAGATGGAAGCATCCTGGAGCGAGGCGAGAGTGAGAACAGCCCACAAGGCCGCGTGCTCCCCAGACCCGGGGGTTAAAACCGATGCGTGTACATCGCCTTCGGTATATTGAAAAGCGGTGCGGAGTATGTCATGTTTCTCGAGTATGGGAAACCAACACTGCGTGTAGGAGAAATACACATCAAAAAGGGGCCATGCGTTGTAGGGGAGTTGAAGAGGGGTTTTCACAGCGAGCGGTCGAGGGCGATCATGGTTAGGTAGGAAGGTGAAAGAGGACGAGGGTTGGTCATCTGGTGTAGTTGTCTGACTACCGCAGTCTGCAGTCGGGCGTGGTCCGGTAACTTTCGCAGTGGTTCGAGTCGGCGATACTCCCGGTAATGGCGTTTCGTGGGCTTCCATGCCTTCTGGGATCTGCCACTCCTGTGCTTCAGCCGAAGAAAGAATCGCTTCGACATCCAGAGGTGTTTCCCCTTCGCCATATGCGTGCAGATTTCTCTCCCTTTCCTCCTCAGGCTGTTCCAGTACTACCAGTATGCGTTCAATGTCTCTGAGTACTGTGCTGTTTTTGAAGGAAGCTAGCAATGCATCCGACCCCTCTGCTTCCTTGCCCATCGTAGCCAAGTGACTGGGAAGATTGATTGATCGCATCAAAGCTCGCATGACGTCTTCGCTGCCTTGGATCTTTTGGAATGCTAGCCCCCAAAGCAACTCCAGCGAGCGAATGTAGCCCGTGGGCAGGCCTCGCTTCTTCGGGTTGGCCTTGTAGGTACATGGTCGGCAAAGGGATGCGCAAGTCGAGCACACTGGCTGTATTCCGTCGCATTTGTCCTTTTTCAACCGGCAACTATCGCAAGCCCGTGAGACTCGCTGACGCTTCGGTTCCCCCGTCGCCTTCCCGTCATCTTCTGGTTCGGTCCATCGCCGTTTGGATTTGCTACTAGCGCCAGTGGCCTGGCGCTGTTCGGCGTTCATGGTGATTGATTAAGCGATCCACTTGGAGGGTTCGGGCGCATGCTCCCGCAAAGCGATATTGATGAATCTTTTGCCGACAGGCGACTGCACGGACGAACCGGCGACTACGCCATGAAAATAAGCCCCACCGGAAGGGTATATTAGGACTGTCGGGGAGGGATGTTGGGACCGAAGCGCGATGTTGAGGTTAGATGCAGCACCAGGCAAGGCGCTTGCCAACAGGGTTCTTCCGGGGAAGGTTGAATACCCGGCTAGCGGCGAGCCAGTCACTGTCTCGCAAAAGGTAATCGCGCGCAGACTGGGATTTAGGCCATGGACTTGAATCTGATTTTTGAGCAAACTAGCGGCACAATGCAGACTAAGCCACAGCAATTTCGATAATTTCCCCAGCTGTTTTGCACGTTCGTATCTGAGCGCAAATCCCCCGCGGGGAAGAGGAAAACCGAAAGTCCCCGGGTGAGTGCTCGTCCGCCTTATGTAATAGTAACGTATCGGACACACGCGATTACCAAAAATATTCTTTTTCCCCCGCAAAACTTGGGGAATCCTGCTTACCATATCGGTTCATTTCCTCCACATCTCCGGATCCTCCATATACGTATATCTCAATACCCTACTGGGGCCGTCCATTCCACCTTTCCGTCCGTGGTAATGGGTCCTCGACTACCCTGCTCCTGATCTCATCCACACCTGGGACCCTTGATGCACCATGTCCATGTTGGTACGCCCACCGAAACGCAAGCTCCACGAGGTCGAGACCTCGGACAATGGGCCTCGGAAGTGCAGCTCGGGCGTCGTGCTCTCTCCCACTGTCCAGCTTTCATCCCGACCTTCTTCTAGTCAATTGAGTGAACATAGAGAAGCATTCGGAGACTCGCGTCTACCCTCGCTAAGAGAATTACAATCAAACCGTGGATCCCCAGTATTGTTTGAAAATGATCATCTTCAAACGCCACGCACTTTCAGCCCGAAGGCATCCGTCGTATTGATCGGAATCCGTGGCACAGGAAAGTCAAGTCTGGCAGTCATCCTCGCGGCGACATCTGGACGACGATTGATCGATGCAGACCGCTACTTTCATCAGAGTGTGGGATGTTCCCGTGCCGTGTTCAAGAAGGAAAATGATGGATCCGTCTACCGGCAACAAGAGGCGCGGGTGTTTGAATCGATGCTGGCAGATAACCAAGAGGGATGTGTGATTGCGTGTGGGGCTGGGTCGATGGAACGCAACGGCCAAAGACTTCTTAGGGAATTTGCGCAGACACATCCGGTTATTCACGTTATTCGAGATCCCGAGAGCATCCAGTCGTATCTCAAAGCGTGGGATACGCAAAAGGTGCGACATTTCCTTGAATTATCAGGCCCGATATATCGAGGGTGCTCGAACCTCGAGTTTTTCAATCTATCAGAGGCCAGAAATGAGGATCTATCCAATGATAGCGACAATTCATCACCGACGCATCGAACAGAGCCTAGGTCACATACTCCTATTCCGTTTCTAACGTTGAAACGAGTTCAGCGGGACTTTCTCCGCTTCATTGCCTTTATCACCGGTGACATTGCAGAACTTAACAGCCAGCATGCATCTTTCCCGCTGTCGCTGTTACCCGTGGAATCTCGTGTGTACACATCGGCAGTGTCAGTGCCGTTTTCTAAGGTGTGCGAGAAGGGTATGGATATTGAAGAGCTGGAGTTCACTGCCGATGCCTTCGAACTGGCAGTCGACGTAACAGACTCTTCTGGTCAGCCAGGCCTCAGCTCAAGTCTTGCGGACAGTATCAGCCAGGCGGTAGCACTCATTCGTCGCAATATCATTGTGCCGTTGATATATCACGTGGAAAGCTATACCACCTCCACAGGATCTCTGTCTCCTAGTCAAATTCCTGTGAGATGTACCGATGAAACCTACTTAAATCTCGTCCGACATGGCTTGCGGCTCTCTACCGGTTTCCTCACAGTAGACCTCACCCGTGACGACAATATTATTTCCCAGATCATCTCTGCAAGTGGGCGAACCAGGATCATTGGCCACTTCGAAGCCTTCCATCCTCTGCCGGGGGGCTGGGATGGCGATGAGTATATGAAAGTCTATGAGCGGGCCAAGAGCCTTGGGTGCGATATAGTCCGAGTGTGCCAACCAGCCGAGACACCTGAAGACAACCTCGCGGTGCAAAGATTCCGCCATCGCATTCAAAGTCTGCCTGTTACTGGTCTTTCTCTGATCGCCTATAACACCGGCCCTCTTGGCCGTATGTCTCGTTGCTTCAACCCTATCCTATCCCCAGTCACACATCCGTCCCTAGTAACGGAACTTCCAACTCACCTACGATCATACATCACTGCCCGTGAAGTGCAGAAGGCGCTTTATAGCTCATTTGCCTTGGACCCGATGCAATTTTTCGTCTTTGGCGCCAACACAACATATAGTATGTCGCCCGCGATGCATAACACTGCCTTCAAAACCTGTGGTTTGCCGCACAATTACTCCATTCACCAATCCCCTACCCTGCGAGGGTTAAATGACCTTGTGGAAAATCAATATTTCGGTGGATCAAGTGTCAGCCTTCCGTACAAAACAGAGTGTATTCCTCTCCTCCACTCAATGTCTGCGCATGCCCGAGCCATCGGCGCCGTCAATACTCTCATCCCAATTCGCAACCTCGATGACCTGGACGACACCCGTCTTCAAGAATCTTCAATCTTTCTCCAAAAGAGCCGTGCTGGCCCTATCAAGGGCCTCCATGGCGACAACACCGATTGGATCGGAATCTGCAATTGTATTCGCCGCGGGTTGTCTCCGGCAAATGCGGTTCGCTTGTCATCAACGGGCCTTGTCATAGGATCTGGCGGGATGGCCCGCGCTGCAATTTACTCCATGATCCATCTTGGTGTGCAAAATATCTTTGTCTACAACCGTACACTCGCTAATGCGGAGAGACTGGCGCACCACTACAACCGGCAAGATCTCCACTCAAAAGAGGCGGGCGGCTCTGGCCGTCCCACAGTTCACATTATTGCTTCATTATCCGACCCCTGGCCTGCAGATTTCAAACAGCCGACGATTGTTGTCTCGGGAATCCCGGCCCATAGTATTGGCGGCGAGCCGGCTCCCAACTTCCGTATGCCAGAACAATGGCTAGAAAGCCAGACCGGTGGCGTTGTTGTTGATGTAAGTTTACAGATCTCTTTTACACCAGCCTGAAAACTGACCTTATATTCCTAACCAATGTTTATAGCTGGCATACAAGCCCCTCAATACCCCTCTCATGAAACAAACACGAGCTCTATCCCATCGTGGTTGGGTAGCCCTGGATGGCCTTGATGTTCTGCCCGAGCAAGGTTTTGCTCAGTTCGAACTGTTCACCGGCCGTCGCGCCCCCCCGGCGCGTTATGCGGAGCATTGTGCTTCAAGAATACAAGGATGATGAAGGAAATAATGACCACGAAACGATACAAGATAGGTTACAGCAAATGGATGGACAACCAACTTGAATATCGCAACATGATCTCACGAATGATGATCAACTGCATCGAATGGTAGCATTGCCCAGTGGCACTACGGCCTGCCGACCAGCCATCGACCCCTCTATCCCCGTCAATCAACCTCCCTGTACTGCCGTCCGTGCCTGACAACGCGCGATGGCGTCGGTGGTCAGTTTGTGGGGGTGGCGGAGGTGCCCACCTAGACGGACACCATCTAGGGCTGAGCGCAGGGCGAATCTGGTGATTTCCGGCTTACTTTCCAAGCGGGAAAGGAGGCCAGCGACCATACTGTCATGATCAGGGCGATCGTCGGCCACGTCGTTGGCTGCGTGTAGAATTCCCTGGGCCTGGGGATTTTCCAAGGTCTTCAGCCCTTTTTTGATGGAGTTAGCCTTGAGGAAGATTCGATCTTTTCTCATGCATTGATGATGGCGGGATTGAACCATCCGACGGAGACTATGGAGTTTATCACAAACGTCCATTTTACCTTAGTCTTGTTTGGAGCGGCTGCGTCGGTGGTCGGAGACTGAATGTGGGCCAGAGCTTGCCGTTTGGAAGGAACCTTAGAACATGTTTGGTATCGACTATTGCGTGCCTCTGCGACCATTGGAGTTTGCATGTGCCGACGGTCCTCTATACCCTGACTGCCTTCCATGGTTTTAGTTAGTTAGGAAAACAATGCATGCTTCTTGTCAGCTTCCACAACAAAAATGGTCTAGATTTCTTAGACGATACTCCAACCCAGCAAATAATTGTCGTTGTCAAAAACGTTGTTAATATTCGCGCCGAGCACGCCCATGGTGCTGCTGTCACGTCATGTATAAAGGCCGGCAAAGACAATGTCGGCGAGTTCGCGTTGCCAGTGTCCACAGTCCTCGTGCTGAACAGTCACCTCCGACCCATGAACACGTTGGTGGTATGGAAATACAAAGCAAGAAGGCAAAGTTGTATTAATTGACGTGACAACCGACGATCCGTACCGCGTGGTTTCAATGTTTGGACTGAGGTTATCAACCAGTCCCCTATCCATTCAACCCGAAATCGTCCAGCAAAAGTCCTCAAGTATAACAATCGGAGTAGGAGCTTTGGGGTGTCAAATGTTGCAAATAGAAAAGGTTTCTGCACAATTTATGCTTTTTACCGTCTTCGTAAACACCTAAGACATCAGAAATGAGATCAAAAATGACATATTAGAAGAACATTTGAAGATAATGGGCTCTTACATAGTATATAAATACAAAGTGGGGAAACATCTCGACAACCACAACCTTGGAACCTCGAAACTCCCGAGGTCGGCTAGTGGCGGTTATTTTGAACCTCCAATTTTCACCGGATGACTCAAAAGGAACTAAACTGCCCCTTCAACATTGGGATATTTCCTTATATTTACATATTTTGATACATCTCTTGTATCCACACATCCCCATTGACCCTTTCCACCATGGCCGTCGGACCCTTCTCTCAAGATGAGCTGGATGAGATATACGCTTTCTCAAAAGACCTGGGCCGCAAGGCAGGCAAGTTGCTCATGGAGCGTGTCGAGCAGCGAATCTCAGGTGAAAATGGCTCCAACACCTTCGAAGAGAAAGAAAATGCCGTAGATATTGTGACACAGACTGACGAGGGTAAGGCGGCGCAGCTGATAAGACATATCCGACATTGTTGCTAACAGTTTTACTTGGCAGACGTCGAAGTATTTATTCGGAGCGCCCTCGAAACAAGATACCCATCTCACAAGTTAGTTTTTTTTTTTACTACAATACACTCACCGGCAAGAAAACTAACAGACCCCTTAGATTCCTCGGCGAGGAGGCATATGCCAAAGGCCAGTCGCGCGACTACCTCATTGACGAGCAACCAACATGGTGCATCGACCCATTAGACGGTAAATCAGAACCAGCACCATGACCGATTGGACTGCTCACGGTTCCAAACTGGCATTGCAAGAAACTCAACTAATAACCCCACCCCCAGGAACCGTAAACTACACGCATATTTTCCCTATGTTCTGTGTCTCAATCGGCTTCATCGTGGAACATAAGCCAGTAATTGGTGTAATCTATGCCCCCTTCACAGATCAACTCTGGTCTTCCTGCAGCGGGCGCGGGGCCTGGCTAAACGAGACTCGCCGCCTTCCGCTCATCCACAACCCAACCCCGCCTATGCCCGCCAATGCCCCCTCACAGTGTATCTTCTCTTGCGAATGGGGTAAAGACCGTCGCGATATTCCCGATGGGAATATGCAGCGCAAGATTGAGAGTTTTGTTAATATGGCTGCGGAGGTGGGTAGTCGAAATGGGAGAGGTGGTATGGTGCATGGTATGCGCAGTTTGGGCAGTGCGACGCTTGATCTCGCGTATGTTGCTATGGGATCTTTTGATATTTGGTGGGAAGGAGGTTGTTGGGAGTGGTAAGCTTTCCTTTTTTTTTCTTCTTCTATCCCAGCCAATATTTTGATGCTGACTATTATAGGGATATCGCTGCTGGTGCCGCTATTCTGTTGGAGGCTGGTGGACTTATGACTACTGCTAACCCTCCAGAGGATGTGGATTCGGCGCCGATTGAGGATGTCCGACTCGGTAGCAGATTGTATTTGGCTATTAGGTGAGTCTTTGAATTGTTTCTCTCATTTTAGATTTTGCTAATGACATTTTAGACCCGCTGGCCCATCCGCCACCGAGACAGGCCGTGAAACACAAGAGCGAACAGTACGGGAGGTTTGGCGACGAGTCCGTAACCTGGAATATTCACGCCCCGGAGCTTGAATAGCTTCAAGGTGTTTTTATTTTGTCTATACTGTGATGCCTCATATTTACATATTGACTGTATGGTAGATCCAGAGCGAAACGTGTGTCAAAATCAAAGACGCCATCCATTTATATATAGACAATGCAACTAGCGACTATGGCGCTCTATACAATGATTAAAACAAAATCGAAACATGATCGTAAAAAAAGAAATCACAGGCTAGACTTCGCAGATGCCCGTTCCGCAATGGTCTTAGCAACAAGATCCTTAACCTCCTGCACAAGACCAGGAGTACCGATAACATCCTTTCCAGTCCAAAGACGGGCCTGCTCCAGACCCTGCCAGATCAGAGCCTCAGAGCCGAGGATGACCTTCCACCCACCAGCAGAAGCCAGGTGAGCGATCTCAGTCCAGGGCGTGGGGTGGTAGCACATCTCCAGAATGACACCCTGCTGCTTCTCTGCATCGGCAGCAGTACCCAAGAAAGCCTGGATAATAGCACGAGCGCGCAGTTCTTCAGGAGACTTCGGGGGTAGTTGGGGATACCGGAGACGATAGCCGCGGGGGACTCGAGACGAGCAGCCTCGGCAGGGTCGGTGACAGGGATAAGAGGCGCCTGGGCATTGGGGTCAGGGTTGCGGCTACGGTCTTCCTCGAGGATGGCGGCGACCTCAGCGGCGTCACGGTTGACGATGTAGATGCGACTGGAGCCGAGCCAGCGGCGCATAACGTAGATGGCAGTGCGGGCAGTACCACCGCCGCCGATGATGAGTGCGGGCCGGCCGCGGAAGCGTGATGGGTCAGGTGCGTTCTGTGTGAGGGCTTCCCGGATGCCGTCACAGTCAGTGTTGGTGCCGACGTACTGGCGCTGACCGGTTGTTGGGTCGTCGCGCATGAAGATGGTGTTGCAGGCGCCGGCTTGACGGGCGTGCTCGGTGAGGTCGTCGAGGTACGGCATGATTGCGACCTTGTGAGGCATCGTCACGGACGAGCCGACGAACTTGGGATTGGACTTGATCGATGCCAGATATTTCTCAATCGGTGGCGACCGTGTGTAGGGAGGAGGGTATGTCTCTGATGGGCCGGACACACTGGATAGGGGGATTTGGGTCCAGTTGAGACCGAGCGCATTGTAGACTGTCTGGTGTAGAGGTGGGGAGAGAGAGTTCAGAAGAGGGTGGCCGTACAGATAGGCGACGCCATCGCGGTTGGAGGGGATGGTGATGGGCTCTTCTGGTGGCGTTTGGTTGATTTCTGTGACGGACATGATGAATTGTGTATAATTATCTGCTTGGATATGCAAATCTTTGAGAGGGAGGTGCTACAATGTTATAAGATGAAATTCGAAATTCAGACGGAAAATACTTAGCCTCACTATGCGTGCGAGGTGCAATGGATATTCCCTCTGCCGGGTGGGGCTTTCCTTTTTCGGGTTAGTTGCTGCCGCTTTTGCAAAACTCAGATTCTCATACATTTTAGTCCGGGGAAAGTGTGAACCGAGGCAGTTATTCTGGGCCATATTCCAAATTTGATTACGAAAACATCATGGAAAAAGAATAAACTCCCGAGGTCACAATCGCTTGTCCATCCTAGGCTGAAGTAGCAGAATGAAGAAAGTGGGCTTGAGCATAACCCAGGGCTCGCGCTTGGACTACATCGTACAGCGTCAATTCAGCTGTCCGCATGTTGACCGCTGGGCAAATTAAGCCGTTGCCGACATCAATTACTTCGGGCCAGATTTGAATCTTTGACGATGAAACAATTCAAAATCTTCTGTGAAGTTTCACCCATAGACATCGACGTATTACTTGCCAATCTTCGATTATGAATCCATATGACAGACCCAGACCATATTCCCCCTTATAACATATAAGCGGCCTTGCCACTTTGCAGTAGTTATTCTCCCAAACCGGATAACTTTCATTACAATACTGGCATCAGTATTTGATCTTTGCAACGAATCTGTGAGAATCTACCTGGACGATGAGGGCAGTCGCGACGTGTTCGCCCTTGGCGGCGTCATCATCAAGTCGAGGCATCTCCATACAGCAAGCATGAGAGATACTTCGACAACTACATTCCATAAAGCCCTCCGATAGAGCCAGACCCGCTCCTACGTCGTATCTGATCCCAACATTCTCATTAGTGGCCATATTCAACCGTAGAGGCTGATATTCTCTTCTCAGACATCAATACTGACCCAGGCATGAGCCTCATACACAGCGAGTTTACTGAGTTCAACTGTATAGTTCACAATGACAAGACCGTGGGGATCGTTGATTGAGAAATGGCTGGCTTGGTTGGCTGGAACACGGCTAGAGAAGTTCATCGTACAGCTAGACTGCATGATTCTTCATTTTGGAAAGATCTATGTGATCAAGATGCCCCTACTTATCGAGGGATAATTGATGTGTACTTTGGGCTAGCTACATCCGGTGAGCATTGAGGTAGTAAGGAAAAGCAGCTATGAACGAATTAAATCATCTAAATAGGGTTTCCTATCCATGTGCTCTTGCGGGACTATAGGCTTCAATCTTAATGTGCAGGAAGTGAGTCCATTACTAGAGACAGGTCTAGAACTTGTACGAATCCCAGATTTTTGCTCTATCTCATATGGCTTATGTATTATTTAATTCTTTATACGGTGAAGGTTGATCGGGGTGGGTTAGGTTGGATAGGGCAGTGCTGAGCTTTACCTAGTGAGCTAGAAGCGACAATACTTTGAGGAGGAAAACTACGTAGTATGGATAATGTAGGGGTAGTGGGATCTGTGAAAAAGCGATGAGTGGGTGGGGAAATAATTTGTTCTTCCACCTCTCTTACTCCCCTCAACCAATGTTATTGCCAACCTTAATAGTTAAATGATTGTGACCGCATCATAGATTTGTTGATTTAGGCAAACATAATCAATAAGATGATCATTGGCTTAGCCGCAAATTCGATGCTTCGTTGTCGACTCTGCGCCACCAAAAGAACATCTGCTGGGCTGAATGATTTCCCACTACAACCATCCATACCCCATGGGGAACTTATCATGGCGCACAAGAAACTCTATAAGAGCCAATGAAAAGATCACGGCTATTATAAATGATGACCGGAGAACAGATAAATTCCCCGGTAGAGAGTAGTCAACGGAGACTTCCCAGAGACCGAACTCGCCGGGGAAAAAGCTTTTCCCCGCCACCTATGTGCAACAATCTATCATTGGCCATTTCCCCCTCCCCCCTGTTCATGGCTCCATTTTGATTGATCCAATCAGACCAATTGCCATTCGCTATTTCACACCAAGGTCTGGATCGTGCACTACGTTGCCTCTGGGGTACCCCAGAAAAATTAAGCTGACAATGCACGTTGTCGCGGGTTACTGGAAAGCCGCTGGGGAAGTATCCACTTCCTCAAGCGGCATCGGATCCCCACAATCCAATGCCTTAAGCGAATAATCTCAGCTGGACAGACTTGGCTGCCCAGCAGAGTTTGCGTATTCCTTTGAATTTCGTTCCTTGGGGGCAAGCCACATAAGAGGTGCCAAGAGGCAAAGTTCTTCGTACTGAAGAACTTAGAGTATTCGTTTTGCCGCGCCTTGGCTTTTCTTCATTTTTTTGCAGCAAATTTTGACTATCTGTGCTATACCTTTCTCCGACTCCGCATCCCCACGATTTCTTCCCCCTTTTCAAACCCCGGATTCTCTTCTCTCTTTTCCCAAGGGCAAATCGACAGTCCGGGGCTCAATCCTATTTAGATCTTGACTATCCTCCCTAGTCTGTTCTAGAAAAACGTGGCGAGGACTTTCTCTTTGGTTCTCTTACCTTTTCTTCCCTTGCACCTGCATCTCACATATACCTTCATACGTGGTGATCGTCCTTCCTAGGACGCATATTTGACTACCTCTCTGCACCTAGCATTGGGGGATCAAGATCATCTGGTCACAGAGTCTTGCAATTCTTCTTCTTATTCTTCTATAACAATCCGCCACCATGTCTATTCTGAAGCTGGTCGAAGACCGGCCGACGCCTAGCGCGGTGTACAACTGGAGAGTCTATCTCCTGGCAGCGGTGGCCTCGTGCACATCCTGCATGATTGGCTACGACAGTGCTTTCATCGGCACTACCATCTCTCTTGACTCTTTCAAAAGCGAGTTCCACTTCGACACCATGTCTGACCCTACCAAGAACCTGATCAGCGCCAACATCGTCTCTTGCTACCAGGCTGGTGCCTTCTTCGGTGCCTTTTTCGCATATCCCGTTGGTCACTTCTGGGGTCGTAGGATTGGCCTGTTGGCCGCTGGTGTGGTTTTCACTATCGGTGCTGGTATCATGGTTGGTGTTAATGGCGACCGAGGACTTGGCCTCCTTTACGGTGGCCGCGTTCTCGCTGGTATTGGTGTCGGAGCAGGTTCTAACATCACCCCAATTTACATCTCCGAATTGGCTCCTCCGGCTATTCGTGGCAGATTGGTTGGTGTCTATGAGCTGGGCTGGCAGATTGGTGGTCTTGTGGGATTCTGGATCAACGTGAGTTCTTTTCTGTTCGCTTGTTTTTGACTTGTCTTGTCTGTGGATGCTAACACAATATCAATAGTTCGGTGTCGACGAGACCTTGGAACCGAGCCACAAGCAATGGCTCATTCCTTTTGCTGTTCAGTTAATTCCTTCTGGTCTCTTGCTCATTGGTGGCTACTTCATCAGGGAGTCGCCTCGTTGGCTCTTTGGACGCGGTCGCCGTGAGGAGGCAATCAAGAATCTTTGCTGGATCCGCCAGTTGCCCGAGGACGATATCTATATGATTGAGGAGATTGGTGCCATTGACCAAGCTCTGGAAGAACAGCGGCGTAGTATTGGCATTGGTTTCTGGAAGCCCTTCAAGGCAGCTGGAACCAACAAGAAGGTCATGTGGCGTCTGTTCCTCGGAAGCGCGCTGTTCTTCTGGCAGAACGGATCTGGTATCAATGCCATCAACTATTATAGTCCAACTGTCTTCAAATCGGTAAGTCGCTTCTTGTTGCCATCCCATCCATGGATGTGAGCATCGATGACTGATGCTAATAATGCTTCTAGATTGGTGTTAGGGGTACAAACACTAGTCTGTTCACCACCGGAATCTTCGGTGTAGTGAAGACTGTGGTGACTTTCATTTGGCTGCTTTGGCTGATTGATCACGTTGGTCGCCGTAACCTGTTGTTGATTGGTGCAGCAGGTGGTTCCGTTTGTTTATGGATTGTCGGCGCGTACATCAAGATCGCCCAACCTGAAAATAACACAAGTGACTCCTTGAGTGGCGGTGGTATCGCAGCCATGTTCTTCTTCTACCTGTGGACGGTCTTCTATACCCCAACTTGGAACGGTACCCCCTGGGTTCTCAACTCGGTAAGCAATCCCAAATTCGAAACTCCAGGCATTGGAACTTCGCTCCACTGCCTAGCCAATCCACGTGTCTTGCAACAGTGCTAACAGCGTCTGTAGGAAATGTTCGATCCCAACATGCGTTCCCTGGCACAGGCCTGCGCTGCCGCCTCCAACTGGCTCTGGAACTTCCTCATCTCGCGCTTCACTCCGCAGATGTTCACAGCCATGGGATACGGTGTATACTTCTTCTTCGCATCATTGATGATGTGCTCCATCGTCTTCGTGTACTTCCTCGTCCCTGAAACCAAGGGTGTTCCTCTTGAGAGCATGGACCAGCTATTCGATATCAAGCCCGTGTGGCGTGCCCATGGGCAGATGGTCGCCCAGCTCCGTGAGGATGAAGAGAGGTTCCGCAACGACGTCGAGGCTGCTGGTATTGACATGGGCAAGGTGCGCCCTGAGCAAGTCGAGGATACTGCGGCTGAGCCAAAGTACACTTGAACAATGCGATGGTGAAGCTTTTCCGTGTTGGTGTCATTCGGTGTTGTGGTCGTACAACTTGTTGTGATTTTATTGTCGGATGAAGTGGCGACTCGTTGGATTGGGTTCAGGTTGCACATTTGATGATCTTTGTGTACTAGGGCTGCCTGGTTTATATACACATCGCTTAACGAGTGTAGAGAAGCAAATGACCCAATGAATATACCCCCTTGTGTCTTTTCATGCGCCGTTTTCGATATATCGTAAGAAGATCAAATAGACGCGTCCGCTTCATAGATCACTATATCCAGCCAAGTCATATTAGTATGTAGCTAGTTAATTCGGCTTCGCCAATAAGTCAACATCAATATCCACAGGCTGACCCGACGACATTGCCCTCTGAACAGCCTCACAAACAATCAAAGCACGTAAACCTTCCTCTCCAGTACAGCTAGGAACAGCGTCCCCATTAATGACATCAACAAAATGCGCAAGCTGAAGATCAAAAGGCGCCTTATCACCCGGAAGCGGAATCCGCTCAACGGTCAATGGTGAATTCCAGCTCTTCTCAGGGCTAGCATCATAACTCCAACGGGTCAGGTCCGGCACACTGAGCGAAGCATCCGAACCAAATATGCGATAGAAGTCCGAGTCACCCCCGGTTATCGACCGCGGGATGAGTGGGTTCTCGCCGGTGCCAGTCTCAAAGTTATGTGGCGATGGCGTCGCATCACAGACTAGAAATGTGCCCACAACACCCGACGCAAAGCGCAGCGTTAAGGCAGCGCCTTCGTCGGCATTGTGTGGTGGGCTTGGGCGTTGCGGCAGCGTACGCTCTGCTGTCACCCGAACAATAGGCCCGAAGAAGTGGTGCATGAGATCGATGTCGTGGACGAGGTTGATGGGGATGACGCCACCTCCACGCTCGTTTGATGCGCGCCAGTCTGTTGGCGGCGCAAAGTATGCATCCGGCTTAAATAAGGTCCACAGACCGTTGATAGCAATAGGGCGACCGAGAGACCCAGCGTCTAGGACGGCCTTCGTAGCTCGCACGTAGGGGTTGAAGCGGCGGTGGTGGCCGACGAGAAGCTTGAGGTGGGCGCGCTCTGGAGCTTGGGCGAACTCCAGTAGCGAGCGACCAGTTTCCAGGGTATCGCTCACGGGCTTTTCGAGGAGGACGTGGACCCCGCCTGCAAGGAGCTCCTTTGCGACTGGGACGTGCGTGTGGTTTGGTGTGCAGACGATTGCTGCATCGGGCCGGTGGATAGACGCAAGTAGTGAGGCCACAGAAGGGTAGTAGTTGGTTTTGAGGCTGGATGCGGCTGCTTCGCCAGTCGGCATTGGGTCGACGAGAGCAATTAGCTCTGTTGAGGAGTTTGAGATTACAGATTGTGCGTGACGAGGGCCAATGAGGCCTGCGCCAATAATGGCAACTTTGACGGCCATAGTGATTTGATCGTTGGGGTCAAAAATAAAGTTTGGTTCTGAAAGAATTGAATTAATTCAATGCTTGCTGTTGTAACTTGTGCAGCTCACGCGGAGAATTCAATCTGGTGGTTTTTGTATGCCTGTTAGTTGCGCAAGGTGTGCCATTGCCTCGGACTGTGAGGAACATTGACTATTCGGGGTCGATTCTCCGGATATGTTTGGACCGATACGGAAAAGATATTGCCGGGTACCTACGGCTATTTTGTTTCCAAGGAGGGGAAAGCATTTCTAATGAAGCAAAACTCCGCGACGGGTGTGGAACTGTGGAGTGGTCGTGGAGAGGGAGTGGAACTGGCGGGAGAACGAAAAAAGGGGTAGCGTTTACCCGGCCATGTGATTTGCCTCTATCAGGTTCGGCCTCGTCATCAAGACACGAATCACAGCAAACCAGGGAAAACGTTCAGTCATGGAGGGCACTGCAGGGGATAACGTTTTGTCGCAATCGTTTTACTACTTTCCCTTTTGATACCCTAGAAAACCCCTAATATTGTTGGTTGTCCACCTTTACATTCTCGCACCCTGAATATCTCTCCATCTGGAAACTTTATTTTTTTTTTTAAAGAAAGCCTGCAACCAAATCACCTCTGAATTTTATAATATCGACATAGAAAAAAAGAACCCATTCACATAACTTCCAAATGGCTTTCAACCGCCCCGGCATCGCTTCGATGTCCCTAGGTCGACCCTGGGTACACGACCTACCCGGCAAGCTGATGCAAGCCGCAGACCACGGCTTCAAGGGTATTGAGCTCTTCTTCGACGATCTAGATTGCTACGCACAGCGGGTATTTGACGGCGATCACCACGCAGCTGCACGGTCAACACGGCTGATGTGCAAGCGCCTGGGCCTGACCATTATCTGTCTGCAGCCATTTTCCATGTATGAGGGTCTCATCGACCGCACCGAGTCAGACCGGCTCATCAATGAGAAACTCCCTAAATGGTTCACCCTGGCGCGGGCGCTGGGCACAGACATGATCCAGGTCCCATCAAACTTCCTAGGCCCAGATCCAAAGACCGGTGCTACTCGCACTACCGGCGACCGCACTGTCATTGTGCGTGATCTCCAGCGCCTGGCTGACTTGGGCGCCGGTGCTGGATTCCGGTTTGTCTACGAGGCTCTATGCTGGGGCGATCATATTGATACCTGGGAGGCTTCGTGGGAGGTGGTTCGCGACGTCGACCGTAGCAACTTTGGTCTCTGTCTTGACTCCTTCAATATCGCCGGTCGTGTATATGCCGACCCTGCTTCTCCTTCGGGTTGCACGCCCAATGCGGCGGCGGACTTGGCTGCTTCATTGGAGCGTCTGCGCACTGCCAACATCGATCCTGCCAAGATTTTCTATGTCCAGCTTGTTGATGGTGAGCGTCTTTCCGCTCCGTTGGATGAAAAACATCCTTTCCATGTTGCCGGACAGCCTGTTCGCATGAACTGGTCCCGCAATGCTCGTCTATTTCCTCTCGAGGAGTCGCGGGGAGGTTATCTGCCCATTGTGGATATCGCTCGCGTCTTCTTCGAAGATCTTGGGTTCCGCGGTTGGGTTTCCCTTGAACTCTTTAGCCGAACCCTCGGCGAGACCGATCCATTTGTTCCCGCCGATCACGCTCGTCGTGGTATCGACTCATATAACAAAATGGCTCGTATCCTGCACTGGGACGAGCCTACTGATACTGTCTCAGTGCCAATGGCGGTGCCTGAATCACCTGTTCAACATCGCCTCTAGGTGGTCCATCTCCACTTTGCTTTTTTCCATTCTGTATAGCATATGGCATGTGTACATACATCTCTTAACGACTTTTGACGATTTTTATTGTTTGACATACCGCGGGTATACGCGATTGACAGGGCGAGCATTTCCAAGGGTTGACTAGGCTCGATCACCTGTATACTTTACCAGGTACCAACATTCTACAATCAACCGCAATTCAAATAAATCTGAGTTTTTACTGTAAGAAAATGGCAAAGTGGGCAATATTGGCAGTGAATGTAGCTGATACTGTCATGCTTCCAAGTCTAGTCTTCTTAGTTAGATTGCTTATTTAGGCGCTCTTGTTGTTGATCTTAAGGAGTTCGACCTCGCTGCAAAACAGTTAGTTTCCCGATATTATTCTTCGGTCGTAGAGACTTACAAGATCAGAGTAGAGCCTGCAGGAATCTTGCCAGCCGCCCTGTGTAGAAGAATGTTAGAACACTCTCAGCTGAAGGATGTCACGGCGTATGTAGTAATCGCTTGTATTCCTAGTATCCACTTACTTGTCACCGTAGCCATAGTCCCTGAGAAATAATGTTAGTAGTGGTCCAATTTCCTCTTTCTCCATATGGACTTTACTCACGGAGAAATAGTCAAGGTTGCCTTCTCTCCCAGGGTCATCTGCATGACACCCTCATCCCAACCTAATCAGACAGATAGTATTAGCGCCCAATGTAACAAAATAAGGGGTTCGATTTAGTCATTGCAGATATGAATGGTTCCACTAAAATGCAAAAATAAAGAGGATAGGATACCTTTGATGACTTGTCCAACACCAATCTGAACATTGAAAACGCCACGTCCAGGGGTTCTGGAACTATCGAATCTGTTGGCATAGATAATTAGTATTTAGAACACTCGAGTTATAAGCTAAATAGCTCTAGTGTATGGCAGTCGGCTTACTGCTTGCCCTGGAAGCCCTTGTTGGCCTTCTTGGCATCGTAAATCCATCCTGTGTAGTGGATAGAGACCTTATCGCCTGCAGCAGGCGAGTCAGAGCCGTTACCACGAGTAATAATCTTTCTCTCGACACCCATATTGAATTCTGGTTTTGTAGTAAACGTTAAGGCAAAAAAAAAGTAAGAGCGATGAAAGAAGTGAGGATCGAGGGGCAACGCTGATTCGTAATTTTCTAAAAGTGGGGGAGAAAGCGGGAGCGGCGAAGGACCTCCGATATGATGTACAATGCTTGGATTTCGAGTGAACATCTCGCATTTTACTAGGTATTTCGGAGACATATTCATGGATTACTGCATCGGTTTTTTGCTCTTTAAAACTCAAGTTGATTGGCTTCAATATTCCCTCCGCCTCGTCTCGCGAGCCCCCTCCAAAACTTGAGCACTGCTTGAAATAGCACGCCAAAGTAGTCCCAAGAGCCTAGAAATGCTCAAATATGCTGCCAAGGATGGATTTCTGCGTGCAGGAATCTATTATCAACTCATCCGCGCATTGTGGCCTTCAATTCCGAAACACATCGCCCTTCCACACTCCTTTTGATGGCTGGCTGCGCTGTTTTCCTAAAGCAAAGAAAGCGCTATAAGAGAAGTTTGGTATATTGGCATGGGGAATTTTTTTAATTTTTTCACTTGTAACCCTTTTGTGCTAAAAATATAAGATATCACTTAGCGTTAAGCAAGGGGACACTATCCCTCGAGATGCTCGTATCGATTGTATCAACGTCAAGTTTGCATCTCATGATTCCAAAGTCCAGCCTTGGTGTTGCAAATCTCAATATAGACTTAGGTTGAAATAATAGTTAGGATACATGGGAAATTTGATAGAAGCGCATTTACCACAGATGCTCGTGTATAAGGCTGCAGTAATTGTACCTTTTCGAGACCAAACCTAAGGACCATTTTTGCTAAGCCAACGGCACAGTGGAAATGTGTTGTGTAATCATCAAATGGGTTCTCGAAGGGCTCACTACTACCGGCAAGACCTAGATTTATGTTGATAATCACACTCCACAACTCAAGCAAGCCCAGCATATCGTGGTGTCGTCGTAGTATATTTCCATTCTCCAGAACCCACTTGAGTTGGCTTGGCTAAAGCCGAAGTTTGCTCAACACTAACCTCGCCACAGCCGATGGATGAACCTGCAGGTCATATACTAAACCCTCCCCCGGGTGCCTCCTCACTAGCTGCCACCCAACGACCATCATGAAGTGGCTATCTCTTTCAGCAATATCAAGAGAAACAAAATGCCGGTCCTCAAATAATTTCCTTAGGTCCTCACACGTTGAAAAATGTATGTGAACCTGGATAAAAGCCTGTTTCAAGGTTTGACCATTGGGGCTCTTTTCATAGTGGACGACGATTTATTCCTCGAACAGCTTGTACTCAGATAGAAAATGGCAACGGGCGACAGAGATATCTTAACGGAAAAGGGCTAGCCCTCTCAGAATGACGTAGGTCGCGAGCACTATTTCTCTGCTGATGAGACTCGGCTACTCCCAGACATGATTACCCCAGAGGCAGGTTGCCGCCGTAGCAGAACGGGTAAGAGCCAATAGGCTTTCTCGATCCTCGATCTGTTTTGTTTGAACCTCTTCAAATTGACGATGTCAAGCACCTACTGCTATTGCCGCATAACGGACTGTAGCATATTCCTCACACATCTGATGCACGAACTGACCCTAGAGTAGATCTTCAAAGTAACGCATGCATTGGACTACCGTAATTTTGTCGAAGTACTCCAAGTGCCAGCGCCCTGTTCAATTGAGATGAGCCTGACTTGGATCGACCAGACGAACCATCGTCATAGATGGGGTGTGTGGGGCTTTATACATACCAAGTAGGGTTCATGCCCAGACATTGCAGTCTGACCACCTGAACAGGGCTTTTCGGCTTTACGCCAGGCACGGGTCCTCTTGTTGGGCACCTGCGCATAGCCATCACACTTTCATACCGGTTCTCGTGCAATTTCAACATGCTAGGAGAGCCTCATCGCAGTCTTTATGACGGATTCTATAACTATTGTAAACCCATCAGTAAGCCGTTACATGGATGATTGTGGATCATCAGGGCTGGGACTCCTTACTTCCCAAGGGGCCCATACTTACACATGATACATCCAGTTCAGACGCTCTACTGTTTTGATCTTGATTTTCCCTGTTCGGGCATGACTTGCATGGAAGACAATTAACGCCTAGACTTGCAAGGTCCAATATGCCTAGAACATAAGAAGGGAAGTCAGTTACGGGCTGCCGCGTATAAACCCCACCCTTGGCGCCGATCCGTCAGATATAGTATGAGGTCAAGGTATGTTCAATCTATTGTCGACCGTTCTGTATATTAATATAGCATTGGATGTTATTATTCATATTATGAATAGATGTTCGATAATATTGCAGTCTTTGTGTATTAAGGATGTGAACTGTGTGTATGGTTTATCATTTGATGTAGTTAGAGATACCAATCTCTCAGATCTATGGACGCGAAGTACCAGATAGATTGATAATTGTAAGTGGACCCAGTGTATCATTGGCCGCTACAGAGTATGAAATACACACCGATATTTATGATATTGCCTATCATGTATTTCATTTGCAAGGCCGTTGTTTTACGTGTCCAGATCGAAATCTCTCTCTCTCTCTCCCTCTTTGGCAGGGAATAATGGATAGTATACCGCAGCCTCAAATAATAAATAGATCTGACACACACTGAGACAAACCCTGATACATATGTTGGGTAATCTCGACACTTAATCTCTTTCAATTCTAGTGTGCCAAAGGAGTCCGGCTATTAATAGATAAATGTGTAGAGCACCGGCTTAGAAGTGCTCCGTACGGAGTACATAGTGTATTATCGTGGAAGCAAACGGTAGAACTACCTTGATACCATGTCACCTACAGGCAGCCAAAACAAAGACTAAATATACAATATTCAGCAAGTCCAATCAAATAATAGCTGTCACAGGCAAGTCACTCCTCAAGCCACTCCCCTTGAATCTGATGGACTCCCACGTGACACAGACCGTTTCACAATTCCCAAACAGCGCAAAGTACTCCGTAGGCACTGCCACTAAGACTGTGTCATCTGCAATTCAGCTTGGGAATATTCTTGAACCCTTTACCGGATACTCCATACGGAGTACTCCGTACGGAGTAAACTTGTGTGAAATTGACTTCAGCCGCACTCCAGATTATTTGTGAAACGACGCTGCACAGGGCTGAAAATGAAGGACCACAGTCCGGAAATAGTGTGTGTGAGAAGTGTGGGAGAGTGTTTGAGACTAAAGAGCCGTACCGTGGTCAAAACAATGGGGCTATGGAGTGATCCTTCGTAAATAGTGGAAGTGGAATGCCTAGATGGGAAGCTGAGGAGCTGAAAGATTGCTTGGGCCTCTTTTCTCAGATGGTGGCCCGTTTTGATTGGGTTGAGATTGTTGGGAGAGTATAATAATATCTGAGACTACCGGCTTCATTAGTATAATTGTGACGGAGATTAAAGTAGATTGGACCAAATTCAGGGGTATCAGGAACCTCATTGGTCATTATATGGGGAAATGAAGGTCCGCACGTTCTGGGCGCGCGTCAAAGGTACGATATAAGTAAGGTAGACGAGAATAGGTTGGGCATTTACCTACAATATATGTACTCTGTAGGCAGAAGGGAAAAAGAAAAAGGTACTCCGTATTCGTACGGAGTACTCCGTAAAAAGTAATTAAATCAGATTCAATGATATTTGTAAGTTTACGTGGGGAAAATCATTTGGTGGCAGAAAGCCAAAAGTTCACCTTCTACTCCGTAGTCTCTCCTTTCTCATCCCTCCCCCTAATCCAAATCTCATGTTTCATTATTGTTTCTTTTCTCTTTCTTTTTAATTATCGTCTCTACTCCCCGATTTCGTCTCCTTTCGCCTCGGGGGTTCCTCCGTCTGTCTAATCTCGAATTCCCACGCCCGCGAGGGGCAATCTCCGTTTCGGTTCGCCTGTTGCGCTTAACGGTCACAACACCCGCGATTATCTACCTGAAACACATCTGTAGCACGGCTAGTAGTGCCTGGTACGTCGAGAGATCGATACCCTTGATCCCTGGTTCATGGGTAAATAATTGCCGTCCCTATCATCCTAGTCCGACCCGCCCCATACCTGGCCAACCCTGCTTGTCTTGGTTCAGGATTGATTTGGGAGGACTGATGTCTTACGCTTAAAGCTGGATCACGTTTTTTAACTTCTCGGTAGTCTGCAGGTTCAGCCACCATTCGCCGTTCTTTCAGCCCCCTGTTGCTTCTCACCCCTCTAAACTCGCACCGACGTCCCCATTTTCCCAATTCCGGCTTCCAACGCAGGTTGCGCTCGGCAAGGACTATATTAAAGGAATCAACACCGACAGCGCATGTGTCTGCGACTGAGTTCCGTAGCGATCACAAATCGCTCGTATACACACAATTTTTGGACTTAGTCTGCGCCCTTCCCGCCAGACTTATATTCGCATCGATATATACGAACATAGTCGACCTTGCATTTTTGCGCATTAGACAGTGGATCTCGCTATGGAGAATCAGGGCGCTTACCCGGAGTCTCCTATGGAGCAGGACGAGTCCTACCCGTGCAAGGGCTGTGGAGAGGTAAGCACAATGTGAAGCAGGCGGACAAGAACTTGACTAATCGTCCTGGTAGACTCTTGAAGAAGGGAAAGCATTTGAGCTTGGTATGTCTGATACTTGCAGTCTTTTTCACCATTTTCTTATGACGCTAACCTTTGGCAGCTGGGAACCGATGGCACATCGACTGTTTCCGATGCAGTACATGCAGCACTCTGCTCGACTCGGACGCGCACCTCCTCCTTTTGGGTGATGGATCACTTATATGCAGTAACTGCACATACAGCTGTAGCTCCTGCAACAACAAGATCGAGGACTTGGCCATTTTGACGGGAGACCAGGCTTTCTGCGCTCAATGCTTCCGATGCCGAAACTGCAAACGAAAGATTGAGAACCTACGCTATGCGCGCACTTCGCAGGGTATTTTCTGCATGGAATGTCATGAATCGCTAATGGCACGAAGAAGAAAACGGAAAGCCGGCGGCACTAG